GCGTTGGGGTGGGGGAGGGAGAGAAAAATAAAACATGCACCTCATTTCCAAGGAACAAGCGGGTGACAGGCACAAGAGAGAAACAAAAATGGTCCTTGTCTAACAGCAGGATGGAAGGACAAAAGGGGAGAAACAGACTGCAACTGACCTTTTTCCACCTCATTCAGATTAGCAGCTTGGAGTGACAAGAGACAGAAGAAACAAGAGATTTTCTGAGTTTACTCTTTTCAAAACATTGCAACAGTACAATGCAGCAGAGAAAGTATCAGCTCAATAATTGTTCTTGGTTTTCATGCAAATCCGTCCTATGCAATTCCATTCTCTTGTCGTATTACTATTCTACACTGTTTCCTCCTATCGCTGATGTCCCTCCGTTAGCTTTGCCAAATCCCCCATGGGTCACAGCATCCATTTAAACCACCACCTTGGTGTAGATCAACAACTATTTTCCTTTATTTAACAACCTGTTCAGTGGGTAATGTGATTGGAAAGCCCTTCCTGGAACAGTGGTTGGAGGCAGAATCCTTATTAGATTTTAGGAGTGAATTAAATAAATATACAGAAGGAAAAATATAAAAGTGTATTGGAGAAGCTAGAGAATGGAACTAAACAGATAAATGTTTTATCTGGGGAGAAATTGGGAGAAATTCCAGTGGGTCTTAGATCCACTGTATTTATCTAGCATTTTAGAGCATCCAAAATTTGGCAGGTTGTTGAATTCAACTTTGAAATTTCACCATCCAAGGATGCACACTCCATCTCACTGAGCCAGTCCGGAACCTTGGCATCTTGTTTGACGTTCAACTGTCCTTTCTACCCACATCTGTGCCATAACCCGCTCTGCCTTCCCCCACCTCCGCAACATCGCCCGGCTCTGTCACTGCCTCACACCTCAGGCCACCAAAACTCTCATCCATGCAATTATTTATACATCAAGGCTCGACTACGTCAACTCCCTGGTTGTCGGCCTCCCCAACTTCCTCCACAAGCTGCAGATGATTCAGAACTCTGCAGGTCATGTCCTCTTCCGCACCAGGCTCCGTGACCCTAACATCCCTACCCTCGCCTGGCTTCAATGGTTCCCCATCCCCCAAAGACTAGAGTTCAAAATCCTCGTCCTCGCCTCAAAGGCCCTTCACATCCTTGCTCTCCCTACCTCTGTGACCTGCTAATGCCATATCAACCTGTTCTCTCTCTCCGCTCAGCAGGCTGCGGCCTGCTCCACATCCCCCACCATTGGCGGTCAGGCCTTCACCCTCTCTGCCCCACCTTTTGGAACTCCATCCCAGTCCCTTTGTCTTGCTCTCTTCCTTGCCTCCTTCAAGGCACGTCTCAAGACGCTCTTCATCGACTGCACTTTCAGCCACCCTGCTACCTCTACCCTCTACCCTCCACCCCTCCTGATCCCAATCCCTATTTGGGTTAAAATCCCTAACTGTCCAGCGAGTTGGAACATCCTCCCAACGTGAAAGGCGCTATACAAATGTAATTTGTTGTTGTATTCTTGACTTGGAAATCAGTTTTCTGTTATTCTTAAAATGAAGAAAAAAGGTTCTCAGCAAAGAAATGACCCTGGTCACCTTCATGTGCACAAGCCGTCACTGATAGCACTTCAGCCATCAGTAAGAAGCACATACAGTAACTCCGAATGCTCTAAAATTGTGCCACAATACAGCTAAATTCTACTGGGTGTTGCACAGAGAATGAAAGATCCAAAACAGTGAGTCAACCTAGCAGGGATCAGAATCAAGCCACAGTAATTCAAAGCGGATGTAATCAATCTTTGCAATAGATTTGTTTTAATGCAGCCATTTCAAAGGTGCACAGTCTTTGTTAAAGCAATTTGGGCAAATGTTCTCTTGTTCATTTACAAACACAAATTCCAGTATTGTACGTTGGGTCAAAACATAATGCAGCACAAATGTGCATCGCATCTTCCTTGTAACATATTGTGTGCCCTCTTCTAATTTCACCATCAATATAAAACTAAGCCAACATTTTGTCTTGATGACAATTCCCTTTTGGTGCATTTATCCCCAAGTTCCCTTTCTTCCTTCTTTTCAAATCTGCAATAATGCACCAAGTAAAACCATTCAAATTATTGCTGCTCAAGCTAGACATGGACCATAAGACTGCAAGTTCCACTTCTATTCCCTTCACCCCAACACTCCAGCAATGCAATGTTTTGTTCAATCAGATGCCAGATGTGCAGAATTGCAACCACCAGATAATGCAACAGTAGTCGGTTTGAATGCTACCACATACAAGCTGGTTTAACCCTCAGCTGTACAATGTGTCAAACAGCTAAGAAGTTTGACAGCCTCACCACAGTCACAACTACATGTTTGACACAACCTTTGCTGGGATTCAGAAAGAGGAAACCGAGCGAGAAAGAGAGATCCTTTAGGCTTTGCTATTAAAGCCAGTACTTCCTTTTATCCATTGAGTGTTCACTCCACACACCTTAGTTACCTGTATGATACAAGTCAAAAACAAGACTCAGCTAGTTATATGTTATGTCATTATATACCTCAATCGCTTCTAAGTCCATGTGATGAATCTGTACAGCATTAACAATCATTGCTTGTTCAGTCCCGAACTCATAGTCAGAGTATAGCGGGTGACAAATGGGAGCAAAAGGTTATTTTAGCAACAATCAGCTAACCTGGGTTAAAGCATTCATTAATGTACAAATCTGCATTTTTTACAGTCAGGTGATATTTACACGACACATCTAGAATAACTTCAGGAGTTATTTAAATGAGTTATTTGAGAAAAAACATAAATGGTAAGACTATTACTGTAGTTATTGGTATATAGAGGTATCACTAGACAATACTCACTTCCAATTTTACTACAAAATGTATTCAGTTAGGTGCAATGCAAGTCACTTTCCTGTCCTGAAGGCACAAACTCGTACTGAGGTACAATTGCTTGGCAACACAGTTCATCCTAACCCTGCTCTCATCCTAACATCCACACGTGAGGATAAGTAGTGGAAATTTTATTTGATTTGTTTCTCTTCCCTAGTACAGCCACTAATACCTAGGCTGAAGCCAACAACAGATCAAGGTTCAAAACTGGGACTTTCCAAATCTCTATGGCTTAATTTTACAACAGGCAATGTTTATTTCCCAACTGAAGTATGAAATAGCACAGTTTAGAGAGATCATCAACATATCAGAACTTCTTGAGTCTACCCAAAATCCATGGAATAAAGTACAAATCTGCAAAATTTCTAATTTCCAAATAAATCTGAAAATTCTCATTCCGGCTGTAAATCATATATTATGAAATAATGGAGTGCCTTGGCAATTTTCTATATCAATGGATCTTGATTGCAGTTTTGACTGAACCCATAGGCCATACATCACTATCTGAGGTAGGTTTTCTGTGCCTGGAGTAAAACAGATTATTCCAAAGAAAATATATAGTAAAGAGTTACAAAATTGGAGAGGTCCAACACTGAATGAAGCCTTTGTTCCTGGCTGTACGTGGTTAGTGCGTGTGGTACAATTACCTCCAAGTAGTTTACTGGTGGCCTCTTTTAGCCATCTCTTATCTGATCATTTCATATTGTGCATCACTGTACAAACCATGCAGAGATCTGCCTTTCAAATCTCCACATTGCTTTGTTCTGTTATGTCATACTTACATCGCAGTAGAAAATCAATAGACTATTGTTTATGCTGTAGCTGCAGTGTTTTTTTTCCCTCAAACAGCTTACCACCTGTTAGATGGGGGCCAGTCACAACACATCTCCAGTCAACCAACAATTGACTCCCAATCGGGCTATTTTCAAGGTGGAAGAACATCAGAATAGAACTTTGAATCTGTTTTTACCACAAACAGGTCAATGGAGCAAGTTAATATGTAAAAATAAATCATCAACTTTTGTTATTGTAGATTGTCAAATATCTGAAATGATTCGATGTAAAGCTCATTGCATAACGTTTGTTTCAAAACTAATACGTTTTTATTTTGTACGTTAATTTAGCTTCTCTTGAGTATTATATATTCAGGAGCTTTAGATTAAAAGTAGAATTTGTGAAAATGTATTTGTGAAAATTTGTGTCCCAAAGTGACAAACTGCATTGTGGAATATAATAATAATAATAATCCTTGCATTTGATATAGCACTTTGCACGTCTTCTAGACGTCCCAAAGTGCTTCACAGAATATACTGTAAAGTGAATTGACCGTATATTTATGGGCGAACGCGGCAGCCAATTGCGCACAAACAGTCGTAGACTGAAAATGACCAATTTATTATTGTTTTGATTTTTTGGAGGGATTATTATTAGGCGTGTGGAGTAAGGAAACTTGCCCAAGGTTTCGCCCTGCCTGGAATTGAACTCAGGTCTTTCACTTGCAAAGCGAGTGCTCTAACCACTGAGCTACAGGACTTCACATAGGACTCCATATAGTGCTGAACTATTACATGTGAGGAAGGTGTCTTGTTCAATGTCCATTTCTGAACTCTACTGACTGACTCCTTCTGGAAACAGCATGTGGTCATTGGACACTTGTAAGAATAACCTTATTGCTGATGCCCTCACATTCACAGGGTCACACACGCTGAAGAGCCTGAACTCTCCTAACATCTCAGGTTTCAATGGATGTATCAAAACAATATGAAATGATTCCTTGCACACAAGTGCTACTGTGGAACCCTATACCAGCAGAAAGGGTAAACTAAGAATACCTAAAATAAACCATAATTTCCTATTACACTACAAGTTGCCGCTATTCAAACAGGTCAATACATCTTTATTTCCATAAAGATTTTTATTAATAACCATAAAAAAACACAAGGAATTAAATACTGCCATATGAATTAGTTCCCATTATTTGTGCCATATTGTGACAGACTGAATTGTGCTCTAATCTATGGTGTCTTTGTACATGTATGTGTATTTGTGTATATAAGTGTACAATGTTTGCATGTGTGTGTACATGTGCATGCTTTAGGAAAGACTGAGTTGGCATCAACTCCTTACCTGTGTATTCAGGTGGACAGAGGCAGGTATAGTTATTGATTCCATCGACACAGGTTGAATTATTTTCACAGTCGTTGTCTTCACAGTCGTCAATGTTCACCTCACAGATCTCACCCTCAAAGCCATCAGCGCATGAGCACCTGAGGAAAGAGGACAAGTCACGCCATACATTCTCACTGAGGCACCTCGTAGTGGAAACCAGAATAAAAAACATTTAAGATCGCACGGAAGTTTGGAATTTTTTAAAATTTACTCTTAATTTTTATTTACTTTTCAAAAATGTCCAAAATTGGTCATCATCTTACATTTTCAGAAAATGGTTTTAATACTAAGAAAATAATCAATTCATCAATTCATCTCAGTACACATAAGGTTCATCATGTCTACTGACAATCAGTAAACATTGGCTTTCCTCTAATGTGACAATATTAATCTTTGTTTCTTTCAATTCCTCAAAGATGCTGTTTCTCCATGTCTCTCATAGGTCTAACCATGACTGCCTAATCTTACTATCTCCTCACATCTCAAGTGGAATTCTCACATCTGCTACATTATTAAACCTAACTCCAAGTAACTAAGCTTCCTCTTTTTGCGCCAACTATGCCCAAGTCTCTATGAATTCCAAATTTGTCTCTGGGCATTGCCCTTTTGTTGGCGATGCTCTTCTAACATCTCTCTTGCAGAACTGGACAGGATACACATTGTGCATGTAACCCTCCATCAGGGAGGTGGGTCACATATCAGACAATGTGTATCCACCCTCTCTCGCTCTCTCCTGTCTCAATTTCATTAATTCCCATTGCTCCTCTGAGAATTCCTCTCTTATTCCACCCAATATTCAAATATGTTGAGTTGCCCACTCAACAACAACAAGATTCCATTTATTGAGCGCCTTTCACGTCAGGAGGACGTCCCAAGGCGCTGTACAGTTGGGTCAGGACCCGAGCAGGGGGGAAATGGTCAGGGTGAGGGAAGGGAGGGAGCGAGGAGGGGGTAGAGAGTCGAGAGGGGAGCTGAAGGCACGGTCAAAGAGAAAGGTCTTGAGACCGGCCTTGAAGGAGGAAAGGGAGGAGGCAAGGCGAAGGCACTGGGGGATAGAGTTCCAGAGCCTAGGGACTGAGAGGCTGAAGGCCCGGCCAGCGATGGTAGGGCGGTTGGGGTGGGGTATTCACTCGTCATCTTCTCTGAATTCACAAGATTGGTTTTGGATGAAGGCAACCTTTTGGCCCATCGGATCTCAACCTTCCAGAAGACCCACCCTACTGTCCCCCCATCATAGCATCAAGCTATTTTTTTTTAAAAAATAGGTGGAACCTAATCTCCTACTGTAACTCAATCTTTCTCATGACCTGAACTGTGCAATTCCTTACCACCTTTAGGCTTCCCTCCCTCAGACGATTATATTGAACCCAAGCTTGCTATCAGTGGCCACTTGTTACGTTATCTGGTTTTGCCTCTGTTCTTTTTAACTTGGCGACATACAGTACTATTTAAATGATAGTGACCCCAGTCCTTCACTCAGTTTCCTGAGTTTCAAAAAAGGGATTAGACTTTTCGAATGCAAATTATTACTCTTTCCATCTCATTAAATGTTCTTCACATCTATTAACTGTAATACTTACTATAAGTGCTTAAAATTAGTGGCTTTATTAAAACATTTTTTTGATGCAAACCTGTAGCTGGTTAAGTCTTTCTAAGAAAAGGGACTTTTAATACCTTAATGAAGTGCCCGAGCATGGAGCCACCCGTACACACAAGCATCTTGATGAATTAATTGCCATTCTCATGTGAAATTATTAAAGTACACTAATCGAGCGATCTGCTTCATAATTCATGAACCATGCAGCTGCACTAATCTAAGCCTTTTATTTAATATCCTGACATCTAAAAAGCTTGCGGACTTTGCTCATTAGCTTCTGTGCAGCTGTCTGTGAATGACTTTTACATTTCTTTGTTTCGCTGCGTTGACATGCCATCGATCACCAGGTGAATCACTAGGAAACGCCTGGGTCTCAGTGCTCTCACACTCTCCACCAGCCTGACCGAGAAGGAGTGCTTTGTTCAAGCCACTCAGCTCATTACACAGAGGAAAGGCACAATCTGATAGACCTAGCTACCACTTTTACCTTTGTGCAGACAGCACCACAAGACGGGTCACTACCTAGAGAAACACACACACTGAGATGGTGATGTACAGTATTATTTAAATGGCCCTTCACACTGTAAAATGTGTTAATCTATCTCTGTGCGTGTGTGTGTGGGGGAGAGGGTAATGTCACACAATATATGTGGGAGTGAAGCTCAACATTTGGGTGAAAATTCCATGGAAATATATGTGCAATGCAATTGACAAAGACTGTGTATAAAACATAGTGGAGTTTATCTGAATGTATGTGATGAAAAATTTAACATTTTATAATATTTAATAACTACTGAATATGTTAACAAATCTGTTATAAAACATGGCATTTTTCCATTCATACCAGAAGATTGGCCGTGGAAATGAAAATCCCCCATTCACCCTACTTCAGCACAAATAAGTGTTCCTATTTCTTAAAACTTCAGCTGCTATCTTGGCTGCCAACTATCAGATCCCAATTTCATTTTTCAATCCGGGAAAGCAGTGTTTCGTTGATAATTCACAGGACACACATTGAGGTAAGGACTTGACTTTCACAGAAAGATCTTCCTCCCACCTCAGGAGTAAAATCCCTCATATGTGTAGATTGATTATTAATGTAGCATTTCAGAGTGTGCAGAATTTAGCAAATTGTTGAATTTAGTTTCAACTTTGAAACCAGTTTTCTGTAAATCCTTAAAAGAAACTTGCAGAAAAGCAGCTTCAAAATTAAAGACGTATTTAAGATTTTGATAATTCTAAAATTCTGAAATATTACTTAAACCTAAACACAGGTGGAACTTTCTACCATCCCTCTCCTTGGCCATTATAGCATGGGGAAGAACAGCCATCTTATTCCACAACTATCCACTATGTTGAACCATCCAGAGCATCTCACTTGCTGGTGTTTAAAGATACCTTATATGGAACCTAGTCAGCAATAAAGAAGTGTTTTGTGGCATACAGATTACCGATTTGAACTTGCAAGTTGTGCATTTAGAGAACACTGAGAATTTGTGCTTATTAACAACAGGTCTGCATATCTTTCTAAATCAATGAGGACAGAACAGCGGGACTGAGTGTGCAATGGAACCATGGTGAACGAAGAGGGTGTAACAGAACAAACCCAAACAGAAACAGTGCGCTAAAATAGTCAACACAGTAAAGTACATTGTTACAATAAATTCCGCCCATCCACGCTGCCACCCACGTCTAGGCTTTTGTGAAAGATTTAGAATTTTATTTTAATTAGGCCAAATCCCTAGAAGCATTCTAAAACAATAATGTGCAGAACATGATTATCTACTGTCGAGCAGTGGTCTGAAAAGAGCTCTTTAATGTTCTGTCTTAGTGAACTAACATCTCATCAGCACTCATTCAGAGAGGCGTCCACAGACCAATAAAATGAAGCTCCCTTTTATGGCTTCAAGTTGCACTTTAATGAACAGAGGGTATTCGCTTGTTGGCATCTTAAACTGGGTCTGAATACTATCTGCACTGCACCTGCTTCCAGATTTCTGCTTCTCTAACATCCACTTTTCATTGTATTTGATCAAAGCTCCCCGGCAATCTGGCAAAACAAATCTGTAGTTTTTATAGTTCTGGAAAATTTACTGCCATTTAAAGTTACATTTCTGTGCTCCCCTTGGATTGCTTCCAAAAGCTGGGATACAATAAAGGTTACATGCAAGTAAAAACCAAATACCACATTGTGGTCTGAAATTGCTGTTAACTCTGTCACTGCTCTGCGGCCCTGGCCTAAACATCTCTGATATATACCCATTATTTTGTGCAAAGAAACCACGATACAGCATACGTCAGGAGATTATAACTCCAACCCTGGTCTCTATCAGACCTGAGATCTTGTGTGTCTATGAAGCCATTTCCATGTAGAAAATACTCTTTGGCCGGTGGCCATCGGAGTACAGACACACGCAGAAAGCATTTTTAGAACCAAGTCAGGCTTGCAGCTATTTTCAACGAATAAACGGAACCATACGAACCAGAATCCATCCTTTTCTCCCTCTTTAAGATTGCAAGTTGCACCGTTGCTGCACGGGTTATTAATGCAGGCATGAATGGGCACATCACAGTCCTGACCCTGTGGACAAATGAAGCATATGTCAATTACTAAGCAGTAGTTATAGAATTAGGCTATTTTGGAGCCAGGAATATCACTTGAATGGAAGGTTATTACAGGTGGCAGAGTACAGTGAGATCAGGAACCAGAGACATGCACAGAAATCACAAAGTGTTGGTGACCTCAACAGTATTCTTTCTGTGCAGAAACCAGCCTGGAGGTGAGCCAGCCAGTGCAATGTATGCGCAGTGAAGAGGTTACTGCTCCTAGTCCTTAGCCATGGATGCAATTCCTGTTAGAACAGAAATTCCCTCCATGTCTTAGCCACTTTATTTCATAGAAGTAGAGGGCTTCACCCATTGCGGAGAGAGGAGGTTGAAAGAAAACTTTGACCCTGGATTATAATCCCAGGAAAGACTATATATATATATATATATAGTCTTATATACATATAGTTTTTATATATATGTATATATATGTTGTATATATCAGAAAGCACTCAAATGAGATCAGAATAGTCAGTCCAACAGTCCATCACAAACTACATACAATTCATAGAGTTACACAGAACGTTACAGAATGGAAACAGGCCATTCAGCTCAATTAGCCCATATCGGTGTTTATACTCTGCCTGAACCTCCACCTCTCCCCATACTCCTCGGTTTCTTTCTCCTTCATGTGTGCAATTCATTCAGCAATGGACTCCAATCAACCCATTAAACGCAACAGAAAAATAATCAGCACAGAGTATTCTGTGTGGATCAAATATATAATTTAATTTCTCCAAACAAACAAAAACTAACTGAGGGCTTCTTTGTTTCTGTTTCACAGACTGGGGGAAGAACAAAGCTGTTATAACATTCAACGCACACAGCATGCAAAAATATTTATTTAAGTTTTCAGGCCTTTCGGGTTATTGTTACAGTTGCATACAATCATTCTTGACTGGAATGATAATAATAATAATGTCTGGAACAACAATAATAAAAATAATATTGTCTGGAAATGCCATCAGTTTACTGCCTGCCCTGCACAGTGCTCTGCTGAAGATTGTGTTTACAGAAGCCTTTTGTAACCGGTGATAGACACCACACTGTGCTTTCAGTGTATACACGTGCCAGAGTGAGTGGGTGGAAGGAAACAAATAGCATGTTGCAGGTGCAAGCCTGGACTCGAAAATGCAGTTTGGCTCATGGCTCAGAATGCAATGGCTTTCAACAAAAACTATTGGCTTTCAACAAAAACTATTTGTTGAAAATACGTAAGATTTCACATTTTGGAAAATGTAACTAGCAAACAGAAATGGGCCAGTTTATTAGTCTACTATTGTTCCAAGATTTTCTCTATCATCCTGGAAGACTAGTGGCTTTTGCTTCCTGTTAATTTTGATGTTCGTACTTTTCCTTTGATTCACAATAATCCCAATCAAACGACCGGAGTAAGGGAAGCATATTCTCGTGTGCATGTGCGTGGCTGGCAAGATGGCCTAGTTGAGAAACGTCCATAGGCTGTATAAGTAATATGTTTGTGTTTCCCTTCCAGAAACATAACATTTACGGGTTATGGAGGGAGTGGGTGGACCAGATGAAATGGAGCAAGAGGAGGCCGGGTGTGGCCCGTGGGTCACCAGTTGGTCTATGCTGATGTTCCAATGCTGTGCTGGGGATGTGCTGCATTGTCGGAGGTTCTATCTTGTGGAAAAGAGCTTAAAATGAGTTCTCGTCTGCCTGTGCAGGTGGACGCTGAAGATCTCATTGCATAATTAGAAAGCAGCGATCTTGGGAGTTCTAGGACCAGGCAGCATGTGCAAGCAATATATTTATATCTAATTCAAAAAAGAAGTCGCTGGGAACACTCAGCAGGTCAGGCAGCATCTATGGAGAAAGGAAAGTGAGTCAACGTTTCGGGTCCAAGGCCCTTCGTCAGATTATATCTAATCATCTGTCTTCTTTGGGTGTAGAAAGAGCACTTTCCTATGATTTTATTTTAAAGTAACTTATAAATGCAAATCCTGAATCCTGCACACAGCACTTTCCCAGATGATAAGTTATGGATGTATGGCTAGCACACCATACATAATCGCAGAACACAGATTGCTCCATTTCAAGTGACAAACATACCTTGTATCCATAAGGACAGGTGCACCTGTAGAAATCCACAGGATCATTGGAGCAAGTTCCATCATTTTTGCATGGGTTCGAAAAGCAAGGGTTACATTTGGCCAGAATACCAATGTCAACCGGACCTTTAAAAAGTAAAATAAATTGTGTAAGTCAAGTGAGTTTTACATTATGGGTTAGTAATAGGAAATGGTTAGGAAACGTGGAACTCATTGAATTGCCAACATAATCACAAGACTATTTTGTGTTAGTGCACTGCTCCCCCATCGTTTGTTTTTCACCACACGTTAGCATAGTTTGGGTCAATCAAAACTAAAAAAATTGCTAAATCCAAATTGTGGTGTAGGATACAAACCCCAAAAAACCTGAAGTCACCTGATGTTTGACAAGCAACATTTGGGCAGAAATTATAATAATAACCCTTGCAGTTGATATAGCACCTTTCACACCAGAAGAACGTCTCAATGGATTTCAAAAATTTACTATCATTGTGTGTTTTGCAGCCAATTGCAACAACCAATTTGTGCACAGCAATGTCCCACAAACAAAATGAAGTGAAATAAACAATTACAAGTGTTGGCTCGCATACTTTTTTTTTGCACCATTCTGCAGGTGTGGTGCAAAGCACAAGTATCAGGAACCAGAGCGCTTTACAAGGATGAGGTAAATATTAACCTTTTTTACTGTTTCATTTTGTGAATTTTCTGCAGATTACTTTCTTAAAGTGTCAAGAAGGGTTACAAATGGACAATTGCTGGTAAACGGCATAGTGATGCATACAGAGATTTTTTGTGTTAAACAGGCATCACTGGCCCCATTGTTAAAAAATAGTCTGAAATCCACAAAAAATTGTTTTGTTCTTAATTATAATTAAACTTCAAAGTGTACACAGAAGTAATACAACTTTCAAGACATACACAACGCTCCACAATCATCACTCATCCTAGGCTTAAGCCCACACACAGCTTGTGTTTGAAGGCAGAGGTCAAGGACTGAAAGTGTGAAAACTGTACATTCTCTCCAAACCCGACACTGCTAGTCTAGGGAAAACATATCTGCTGGAGGGATTGAGGTAATTGTTTTGGGTCACATTTAAGGAGAGGCAGAAGGTCCGTTTAACACCATCCATCATTGCCAAGGGCTGCTCGGTTGGCTTACCTGGCACCAAAAACCCGCAAGGCCCTGGAATCTCTATAGGCAGGGAATGGGGTGACAGAGGTCGCAAGTGAAAGATTAAAGAGTATTAGATTACACACAAGAAAAGGCAAAGAAAGAAAGTCAAAGGGTAATTAAAGGTTACATAAAGCTCTCTTTGGGAGTTAAAATCAAAGTTCGCCATTACACTAATAACTGATTACTGCTAACTGATTGGATAGATAAACTATGTTAGACATTGCTGGTTTAATTCCTCGCATTGATACAAAGATGTCTTTGGTGCAGAGAGAGTGTGAAGAATTGATGGCAATACCTTGACATTCAAACTTCTTAGACGGGGTTGTGAGCAGGAGCTTATCTGTCATGTCACCAGGTCCTGCACAGCGAGCAATGCCTGGCTCCTTGTAGCCAGACTTCACCCAGTCAGACAACCACTGCATTTTACAGTCACAGTAGAGAGGGTTTGCTCCAAGGGCCCTGTAGGGACAAGAATGTTCTTTAGTTCATTTAGATCCAGTTAATTGATATTTGATATTTATTTTGTGGGGTATAATTACACCCTTGACCAGAACGCAAACAAGCCTGAGACTCCACTGGCTTCCAATCACACAGAGGATACAGTTCAAGATCCTGGTCGTCACCTTCAAAGCCCTCCATGGCCTTACGCCCTCCTACCTTTGTGACCTCCTAATCCCCTACCAACCTGCCAGCTCCTTCCGTTCAGCGGGCTCCGGACTAGTTCACATCCCCCCCCTCTCCCGCCCCATCATTGACAGGCGGCCTTTGGCCACTCTGCCCCCACCCTCTGGAACGTCATCCCGCTGTCCCTCCGCCTCACCTTCACCCTTCCCTCCTTCAACACCCTCCTCTATGACCCTCCATCCCCCCCTGCTCTCCACCCTTCCTGATCCCGTACCCCAGCTCGGGTTCGAAACACTGACCAGTGCCTTGGACGTCCTCCCGATGTGAAAGGCGCTATTCAAAAAATATTGCACCAGTGATCTTTACATCTATCGATGCAATATTTTTATTGATAACCTCTTTTTAATATTAATTTATTGTATCCAATATTTTAAGCATTTTCTCCCCTATGGCAAGTGTCTCTGCTCCTGGTCTGGCCTCAACTTGCTTGGGTACTGTTCTACGGCCAAGTCTTGCTCTCCAATATTATGCCCAAGTGGTGTCCGTTCACCTTGAACCTTGGCAGTGAGTATTGGCAAACCAGAGAACTGCAGAGGGAGACACAGCCAAGCCTGACCTCTCGCTGTCCAGCTATCAATCACTTTCATAACCAGTAGAAGGTGTTGAAGAGAGAACAGGAGCAAGATCGTTGGAAGCTTGCCTCCCCATATAGTGGCTGAGACCAGCAAACTCAGCACAAACCAGGATTCGAACCAGCAAACTCCTGGTCTATAACCTGCAGCTCAATCCACTACATCATTGGTATGGGGGGGGGGGGGTAATTCTATCCACTGAAATCCCAGAGAAAGAAAGTGCCCTCTTAACCAGAAGCACTGAAATAATGAAAAGATCATATTGGAATTTGTACTTACAAGTGGGACAATGAGGAGAGGTCATTGAAAACTCCTGAGGGAATAGTGGAGACATCATTCCCATGCAAAGACCTGGAAAGAAGTTGTAATGGACAATGAATACTGCTGGCCAGTGGTTCATTTCAGCCTCTACTCTTCTGAAGCCCAACATTTCTCATTATCTTAAAATGTAAGAGTATGAGAAATTTTGGACCACATTCTGAAATTCAATCTTAATTTCGAAACTAATTTCCCTCAATTCTTTTGGGGTACTGTGAGTACATCTTTCAAATTAAGATTGTTTTCCAAAATTCCTCACTTAAACGGTTTCAGGCTAATTCCATGCACAATTTCAGGACCCTGGCCTCAAGCAACAATTAGATCCTGTTTGCATGTTAGATGGGATACAGACAGCTAGTCAGCACTGTCAAGCCTTTTTCTAACTGCAATAAGATCAATCCTGCCAACAGTCCATTAGCTAGAGAAAAATAACCTATGATAGCACTGAGTTCCGTCTACTGTGATCAGAGTTTCCAGCCAGCTTTGTTCCTTACAGTCGTGCTAAGAAAAGGCATTCAGTTTTGACAAGTTTCATATAGAAGTCAAAGTCAAACACTCGCATATTGTGCCAGAAAGCTCCATCTGTCTGTCTTAGCAACAAAAATAAAGTGTGCGCGTGTACCTTCCAAAGGGGCACCATCTCCACTGTGTTGTGGGAGGCAATCTGCTTTTAATCCGTAGCAACATTTTTTTTAAGAAGGTGTCACACACATTACAGTGAAGGAGAAGGAACTGCAGTATTTTTGCCAGTGTGGGATTGTTTGCAAGTGGTGCACTGATCTGTTTACACTCCACTGCATTTCTTCTTTCTGCTGCAGATGTTGCCACTCAGAATACACTTTTTTTTAAAGATTGTCACCAGCAATGCAATCAATCTGCAGCTCTCAAAAATGAAGTTCTACAAACAGCCCTGGTCTAAATGTGGCCAGAGGTGTAGACAGGACTAATTACCTGAAATACTAAGCTTGAAAGTCAACAGGAATCACCTGGTCTGTGCTATTTTTTCTAATACTCACAACAAACGCAAAGACTTCAAGCCATCAAATGCCCGGGCTGGAATGCACCTCAGACGATTGTAACTCAGAATTCTGTGAAAACCAAAGACATGTCTCTCTGTAACCAGAAATGTACAAACTTCCGCACGTGAAACATTTCTCCAGTGTGAATCTTTGCTACAGAGTTCATACAAAGGTTTCTTTATGAAGTGTCCAGAAAACGCTCAGTAGAGGGTTAGCTGGGGAGTCTGAGTCATTTGCAAACCATTTGCAGTGCTTAAGAAGGTCTAGTTTCAGGAACTAAGAAATCACAAAGGCAAAGAAAAACACTGTCTATGTCTGAAGAACACATGCACAGGTTGGCAGATGCCAAGCCATTAGTTATCCTGAAATGCATTGGAGTTGGCTATCTAAATCTGTACAAAGTACCAGAATGAAGCATTAGCTAGCACTCTGCCACTTGTCTATGTTGTCTGCGTATCCATCACGACATGGCATGAAGGGCTATTAGGAGGAGGAATTCCCAGAGCTCCAGTGATTTGCCTTTGCCTCCAAGTATTATTGTTGAGCCAGGCAGGCTGACAAATCATCAGCAGTTTCCTGGACCACTGAAAATGTACTGGCTCAGGAATCCAATCATTAAGTCTAACACTGGGACTTGACTCAGCTCTGCCTTTGACAGTCATGTTACCTTGGAGTCAGATCAATCCCACTCACGTTTGTTTGCCAACTTCCCCTCCCACCGACCCAATATGCTTACATTAAAATACATTAGAATATACAGCAAAGAAACAGGCCATTCGGCCCAACTGGTCTATGCCGGTGTTTATGCTCCACATGAGTCTCCTACTGCCCTTCCTCAACTAAGCCTTCAAGCATAACCTTCTATTCCTTTCTCCCTCATGTACCTATCTAGCTTTCCCTTAAATACATCTATGCTATTTGCCTCAACAATTCCTTGTGGTAGCATGTTCCACATTCCCACTACTCGCTATGTGAAGAAATTTCCCTATAGAAAATAGAAAATTCCCTATCGAAATCTTTCAGCATTTTAAAGATCTCTATCAGGTCAACCCTTACCCTCCTCTTTTCAAGAGAAAAGATTCCCAAGTATGTTCAGCCTTTCCTGATAGGTATAACCTCTCAGTTCTGGGATCATCCTTGTGAATCTCCTTTGCACCCTCTCCAGTGCCTCTACATCCCTTCTATAATGTGGGGACCAGAACTGCACACAGTATTCTAAGTGGGGTCTAACCATGGTTCTATAGCAGTTCACCATAACTTCCCTGCTTTTCATTTCTATCCCTCTAGAAATGAACCCCAATGCCTGGTTTGCTTTTTTTTATGGCCTTATTAACCTTAAGCATGTTTACAGCAAACACAGGACCTGGCCACTGAAACTAGAAGATCAATACTTACAGAGTCAGGAGGTCAGTCATGTTGCTGAAGCTCTGGTTGGACAGTGTACTGATTCTGTTGTTGCTTAGATCACTGGAAAAACAGAAGATGAATGGCAGTGAAGCACCGATAGGAACATTTCTCCACAGAGTCATAAGACAACAACAACTTGCATTTATGGAGTGACCTTCCTGCAGGAAAATCGTGGGGTTGGATGCAGAGCAAGGGAGAAGCAGGAGGTGACCATAAGCACAGTCGAAGAGATAGGTCTTACAGTGGGATTTAAGGATAGATAGAGGGAATAAGGTTACAGATAGAGGAAGGGGGTTCCAGAGATTGGGGGAGCAGTGGCAGAAAGCATGGCCACCAACGGTGAGAGCTGAGCGAAGCGGGTGGCTACAAGACATGGTATTCATGGGTATATCCCAGGACCTTGGGAAGTCCTCCCGAAGTGAAAGGCGCTAAACAAGTGTAATTTGTTGTTGTTGTTGTAAATGTTACAACTCAAGATGTATGACAATATTATTACCCTTTATGTATTCTGCCTACTTTCTTCTCTTGACATTAATCTTTCTTTGGACGAGTGAATAGGCAGGCAATCTGCACCAGACCCTGATGCTGCTCCTTACCAAGCCACTCAACAACTGCCGCAATTTTTAGTTATGCTTCATATATTTTAGGAAATAATACAGGTAAACTACATACTCTGTAATTGTGTAATTACCCTAATCTTTGTCTATCTTAGTACTGTACACACACAGATACATTTCTGTACAATCCCTGTATCATATGTGTATCTCAGCACTGTACAGATTCAACCTTTAAATCCATTATCGGTAACAACTATTTACAGTAATTTCAACATAGTAAAAGCAGCTCAGTTAAAAGCACTTTGATTCTGAACTAAACATTGGTTATCAAGGACCTCAATTTCCTGCCTACACTTATTTATCAATCTAAAATAAAAGAATGTGATTGTTTTCCCACTGTCTTAAAATTATACCCATGAAGGTACCTACATTAGTAATAAGTGTTTGTAGTTAGAGAGCTCCTTGGGTACCATGGTAAATTGATTTCCATCCAGATATCTGAAACAGAAAAGAACCATGTCAAATGGGGAGGGAAAACAAAAGCAAAGTCCTAACAGGTAGGATGATCCTCACAAGATATGTTCAGAATGAAGAAGGTCCTTCAGCGAAATTGATTTCATCTTTCTGGAATACTTATCTTACTGTATTCCATTCAAGGCATTACACTAGCTGGACAAACAGCAGGAAGCTTGCCAGGCATTGCTCTAATTGACAAACTATGCAGTTTCAGCTGGTTAAACTCCAGCAGTACCTCAATGGGGTCTGGGGTCCTCAAGTCTTGGCTCTTACCCAAACTGGGTCTAACACTCTCTGGAATTAGGTAAGCAGGGAAACAGGGCACATTCCATTCCATGCATAGGTGACATACATATGCGAATCTCTCAGTCTGGTTTTAATCATCAAGGTTTTTTTTGCATGTGTTAAGACACCCAGATAACCCAGTGGGGGGGGGGGGGGGGGGGGGGAAACAAGCAACTGCAAACAACCCTCTATCTTCCAACCACGAGTCAAATACAGCCTCTTGCACAACAAAGACATCTGTGAATCCTGTGTGTCAGAGAGTATCATGCACCAAAATATTTTGTAGAATCCCTACAGGTTTCTTGTCAAAAAGTCATATAAAATAGGAAAAATCCTACATAATATTTATTATGTCCTATAGGTCCTAGTAGGAGCTAACAGGATTGAAAAATCCTTTTTGATCCTGTAGTTTTTTTCTCCAATGAGGAAGTCTTTTATTTACAGTTGTTTTAAATTCTAATTATCAGGTCTCCTGGGAGACTGTTAATTGTTACTGTGGCGCTAAAATATTTATTATGGTTGATTATGCAAGGTTGTTAATGGCCGTCTTGGAGTTAAATATTAATACAACTCCTTTGTGAAACTGGAACTTGTTCTTTTAAATATTAATTACTGTGATTTGTGGGCCATTGATCCTAGGGATTTTAAATAGAACCACACTTTCAGCAAGACTGAGTGCTGCCATTGCCTACTTCAAATATTAATTACTGCTGGTTCTGACAATCTCTGAATGACTTTGTAAAAAGTCTCGTAACCGACACAGACTTTACAAACAGATTCCCCTTTATAGCTAGATTAAGACACAAAGGAACCATCAGCATGAAAATTTGAGGGTCCTTGTTTCTTATTTGCTTGTTTATTGTTAGTGTCTCTGTTCTAATAGCTGAGATATCTATCATGAAGCCACATGCTCCGCTGAGATTGCTTCAATGCTTTGCATATTCTGCTGGGAGTGAAGTGATATCGCTCCCAGTGATACTGCAATGTGCACCAGGAAGTCTGATTTATCCTTTCTGTTCTCTATTGCATTGGGCCTGTTAAATAAATTACAACCCTATTTCTGAGCCCAGCACATATCATCCAGCTCCATGCATGCTGAGAACTGCAGGACCAGCTACTTTTCAATGCTAATAAAGATAATATTGGCCGTGTGATTGTGCAAACCCCGAACCTCACCCTGAGACCTTCTGAAATGATGAAGGGGGGGAGGGGGAGAAGGAAGGGTAATCAGATATCAGCAAAGTTTAAAATCACAGCCAGGGCAACAGATGAGGCAGGTGGGTCCACAGTACTCTAAGATACTGCTAATGACAGACCAGCCAGCAGGACTGAAAGGCTGAAAGGGCAGATCAGTTACTGAGGCAAAGATTCTTCCAGCTCAACTTGTATTGACCCACATAAGCCAAAGACCTAATGGGTCGGATGGTCCTAGCTGGATAAGTAGTGCCAGAAAGTATTTGCAATGACCAGCTATACAGTTTTCGCTAGTGAAACTTCAGCACACTCAGTGCACACTGTGGTTCCCAAGCCTTGTCTCTTTCTAACCTATGCCGAAAACTCTCCAGGAATAGGTAAGCAGGGTGTGTGACTCCGAGGAGAGAGTGTGCATTCCAGACGCAAGGAGATTTCCATGTGTAGGTGGCATTCATATGTGGAACTCTCAGTCTGGTTTGGATACTCTTAAGCCTGGTGATGAGTTTCGGAGTGCGTCAGACAGCTGGCTAACCAAAAAATAAAATGAGTATCTTCAAATGAAACATTAATTTTTGCCAAACCGCTACAAGTTCCAATTGTTGCTGACTAAATCATCGGGGAATCTGAAGTGGTTAATCATAGGCTTATATATTTTCTAAAAATATTTATAATGTCAGTGTTGTTAGACACACAAAGCAATTAACATCATTGAGAAATCTGCAGTCTTTTATGTCTTTGTATCCTGAGGTTATAAAAACTTGTGCTGTTTGAGCTTACCATGTCTGCATGATGAATGAGAAGTCAGACAAGATACTGAGCCCCCAACAGCAGAACTGCCTCCGAATCTCTCTCCACATTGCATATTCTGCTCTAATCCCTCTCATAAGAGTTGAAGTGTCAAGGGACTGAACTTCAAATTACAGCAATACACAGACTGAAATGTGGAAATCTTTGCTCCTGGGACTCACTGTAGCGGAGAGAATTCCGATAAGTAAAAATGGACCTAAACTCTACCCAATGTCAGCTGGATGTTGCTCTAGGGAATGAGCCTTCTTACTCCACTGCAATTGACCTTTTAGTTAGTACAATCGTACCTTCCTCTGCCTCATAAAATAACAATTTCCTGCACAAAAAATGAACAGGAGTGACATTTGACATCTGATGAAATCTTTCGAGTCTCTGACCACTGGGTTTGATCTTAGCTTCCTTTTGATTACCCTAACTGTGTTTCACTTAAACTCTGAACTGTTGGCTACTTGTTTTGAACTTAAAAGCTCAAAAGAAGAAACAAGTAGTTATACTTACAGTTCTGTCACTTCTTTGGGGATGCCCTTGGGTAAGGCTTTAAGTCCCTTGTTACTGCAACGCACCACAGTATCCAAGCAAGTGCACTCAGCGGGGCACCGGGCAAGCGGTGAGCAGCTGTTGTCATCATTTCCTGGGTTATGGACAAAAATATATTATTATTAGAAAGGAAGAATAAATATTGATACTCTTAAACCCCGAGAATGGTTCAAAAGGACACTTAAAAACATAGAGCCTATTCTTCGAGTTAATGGATCCAAGCTGCTGACATGAGTCCATTGAACAGTATTGTAGCATTTCTCTATCAAAATAAAAAATGTAACAAGATTAAAAAATTGAAAACAGAGTAGTAGAACAGATTCTTGGGAGCTATTTAAGCTTAAAAATTGAATTAAAGGGCTCGGATGGTTAGACAGAAAGTATTGGATATCTGGGAGTAATTCACAGACTGGATTATTATCAAGGGCTTTGAGTGGTTTACATAGAGAATTATGGATACTTGGGAGTGAGTACAGGCAGTAATCTAATTGAGGAGTTTGGATGGTTTATGCAGAAAACATCAATACTCTGCCCAGTTTCCCCTCATGGTGAGGTGATGTCATAGATAACAAGGTTGGTTTGGATGTGAAGAAGGACCTTTGGCCCATCCTTCCAGAAGATCTATTCTCCTGTCCAAATATCACAGCATCAAGCTATTTTTCTTTAAAATGGGTCCTATATCCTGGACTCAATCTCTCTTCCTGCCAATCTTTTCCCATCTGGAAAGAAATACTGGATTTCTCCTGAAATTGCCCTTACAACTTTAAACCTATGTCTTCTTGTTCTTCTGTCTTAGTCTTCATAAAGTTTTGTTTTGGGTTTACTTTTTCAATCCAATTTAAAATTGTATATACCTCCATATTGCATATAACTGAGGAGGCTATGTGACACGGACCATGAACCAGACTTGGAATAACCTGGTTTCAAATTCATAAAGAGAGAAAGAAACAAAAACAAAGTGTAGCAAATATGCAGAAAAATTCCCAATAAAATTATGTTGCATCAATTAAAAAAGGACTGGATTTAACTTTATCAGCTCTAGGCAGTAGGACTAGACAGCCTAGGTTCAGCGATCTAAAGGGCAGCTTTAGAACAGAAACCAAGAAGTGTTTTTTTTTTAAAAAGATAATCAACAGCTGGATTGCTTAGCTGGAAGGTTGAGATCAAAGGGACAAGAAGGCTTTCTTCATCTGTACGTCTCTTTTAACCTCTTGTACTACACATCTCCTTGAGAACAATATTGGAAGAATCTGCAGACTGTCGTAATCACATACTCCATGTGGTACACTGACATCCATGCTGCAGGGTCCAGAGGTATGGGAAAGGTGGTGGGGGGGGGGGGGGTGTAGAATGGGCATATTATTTTTGAAAGAAATGGGGGACAAGGTTCAATAATGGAGATGTGAGGGCAGATGGATATTGTGGAGATTGTATTTGACTTGAACTTGGGGTTCAGGGAGCTTCTACTTTGAACTCTCCACTAGGTGATAGAGTAAATGGGATGAAATCAATGTTAAGGGTGGATTTTGCAGAGTGGCTTCTCCAGAACAGAGGGATTTGCATGATTGACATTTGGCTTTTCCTTGGAGAAAACCCCCCAAGCCATTTTTTAAAAATATATAATAAAAATTAAACAGTGATGAGAGCCAAGGGTGTGAGGAAAGCTACCTGGCTAGCAACCCTGTATTAAGCCATATACGTCTGCCCATCTCACAGTGTTTAATTCCCGAAACCAGATATCCAATAATGAAAATGTGTCTTTTGAATGTGACACATACACTCCAGGTGTATTTGGATCTGTGCAGTTAACACACATTGATTCTGCACTGCTCTTGGAGCAAACATCATTATATTAAAGCTATGAGGGAAAACCATAGTAGTATCACAGCACAGCTACAAACTGAAGCCAATGTTTTATTCATGTCTCTGAATGAATGCAGGTCAATGCCCAAGATAATGTTTCCAGGAAATCACAGCACTAAAAATGTGCACATTGAGACGTGGTGACAGGAAGTACAGACATGAAAAAACAGTCAGAGCAGTGCCACAGCTCACTCGCAAACCTAACGTCCACAGGATGGACATATAATCCTCAGTAAATAAGCTCTCTGCTCCAGCACTGAATTCTCCGCTCACTGGGAAGAAATGTATGCTCCACTTAAACAGAATGATATGCATAGAAGCCCACTCATTGTTTAATTGCAACAGTTTCAATTTCTTTGTAACAAATCAACATCAATGAATGCTTGTTACAAGATGATTTAAATATCATGCTTCGCAGAACTTCCAGATGTCATAATCCAGAATGCAGGTCAGACTTTACCACTCAAACACTATTTACCACCAGCAATACGGTCAGCGTACTTAACAACCTTAGGAAGGGTTTCAGTCTGAGGAAATTGTAAAAAAAAAGTATAATCTTGTCTCTTTTTCATGCAGAGATGGTCCAGGAATTAACTCCTCATCCTCACTTCATATTACAAATTTGCATTTAATTGCTGCAAAATTGCCAGCGGATATCCCAGCTATGCAAATAGGGTTTCTTCAGGGATTCCAATGTACCCAACACAGAATAGTCAGGTCTCATTGGAGACAAAGCCTTCAAATATTTTTATCATTAGCAAACATCATGTTAAAAAAGGTTTACCATCGTCACATGTGAAGTCCTGGATTGCTACATCCTGAATGGGAATCTCTTTCAGGAAATAGGGTTTCTGGCAGCGAGGGTTCCCAGTCACAATGCGCTTCTTTCTGAGCCACTCGCCCAGCCAGGCCAAGTGACAATTGCAGTTAAAGGGATTAGCCAGCAGATTTCTGACGAGAACCAAAAGGGACAAGAATTGCATCAGTGATCTGAATAAGCGACTTGAAAATGATCGTAGCTCATCAGAGAGCAACACCAAATGCAAATTGTTAACAGCAGCAAACTTTTCTAGTAAATCTTTAGAATTGGAAATTCTACTGAAAAGGACATAGAGACATGATTACTATTATTCATGATCAAAACAAATCATTATTGTAGATTGCATATTCTGAAGGATCTCTTGCCAATGTCTGAAATCTCATCTGCGCTGCAAATTATAAAAGTCCAACAAATTCTCCTCAAAGTATTACGTAGTAAATTAATTATAACATATTCTAGTAAAGTTATTTATATAAAGGCATATGAATCTTTTCACAAAACCTAGCAACCAAAGTAGGATAGCACTCAGCCCACATCAATTCATTTTACTTCATTGAGCATACGAAGAGCAGCATAACCCTACTCTCTGGACAGAGTAGAGAGAACTTCACTCTGTGCTATTCCTAACCTTGGGAGTATTTGGTCCTGTAACTAGGTCACTATAATTGGTTCTATTACACAGCACAGCTCACTTTTTTATATGAAAAAAATATAAAAATTGGTACTTTGACATCTTTATGATTTAAAAGAGTCCAATCCAGAATACAATGCGTTATTGGTTACAGCTCACTTGGATGTAATTCAAATTGTTGGCAAGCTTCAGCGTATTGTCAAACTGTGCTGAAATAAAAAAATGGTAATTCAATCTGAAGATGACTCTCAAATTGGATTTTGAGTTGACAAGGGGCTATGTCATTAACATGTCATTTCCAGACATCCATTCCTTATTTGCACAAGTGAATAGGTTCCCATCAGAGCTGACAACCATACTGATTACATGTCAGTGGCTAAAAATGAATTTCTAACTGGAGATCCCGATGCCTTCAATAACTAATCAACTCGCTGCCATGAACGTGAATGTCCATTGAGAATGTTTGTTCGATCATGCAAAATTAAATTACACGTTAAAATGTTTTTTGGTCCATGTTTAAAGAAGTCATCCAAGTCATAATCTGTGAAAATGAAGTTGTATTATAATACCTCCCCGCCATCTCAGTTTCTCACCACAACTTACAGTGTGGACAGTGAATGAAGTGTATCAAAAGCTCCTGGAGAGACGGTTGTGATCTGGTTGTCATAGAGTGAGAGCAAGCGGACGGAGCTGAGCCCTGTGAATGTGTCATTGCTCACACAGCTAATCTTATTGCTCCTCAGCATCCTGCAGGATAGAGAACAGAGCAAGTGTTACAATGCTGCCGGAGGCAACTACACAGGCAGCACAGGCTTATTTCAGCCCTGCAGAAAACAACTCTGTTACAGAGATGGAAATTTATGCACTTCTCAGTCCAAAGAGTGTGGTTTGTCATAAAGCGTGAAATTAAAACACGAAAATCATAAGTGTACTCACTCCAGACTTGAAATTATCAAACTACTTACAAAACATAGAAGCACTCTTAGAAATGCATGGGGCAAAATTCCACCTGAGTCAAGGTTTACTCTATTTTCTTTGCATGAAGAGAATTTGGTAAATTGTTGAAGATGTTTTAAAAAAATACACAAAATTGCCATCAAAATTAAGACTGATTTATGCTCTGAAATGCTAAAAATAAATTAAGATATGTTACTGAATGAAACAGAAGCTTTGCACTTGTCACTGGAATGAATAGGAGCAATGGACACCAGACACAGCCAAAGAGCAGCCTTGGCAGCAGAAGACGCAGGCTATGTTAGGCTGTGCAAACATACTCTTTATGATGTTATCTATACAATAAAAAGCACCGTTTGCTCTGGGTTCAGCTCCAATCCTAAAGCACTTACAACCACAACCTGCTTGTGCTTCTGAAGCAGTCAGCCACTAGTTCTATAAAAGATAAAACAGATGATGCTGGTATATGGTAATATTTACATTTCACACCAGGGGAACCAATTCCTTAATGCCAGCTCCTTCCTGTAGTGCAGCTGTTATAATAGTCCAAATATCCAGCTGGCACATTGCAAATCCACCACTTTATCAGCACACAGAACTGAAAGGTTTCGCTGAATACTCTGACCTTCAGTTTTATATCTCGGAATCAAACTACATGCAGGAATATTGATAGATTAATGATGGTGACATTTGTAAAGCCAATGATAACAATTTTGCAGATTTTGAATTTGAAGAAACATGCTCAGCGCAGCAAAATTGAACGACTCCTAGCAACCAGCCAGCAGAGGCTTCAAATGGAACAAATCCTTCTTCAGTGTTAAAAATTCCAGCACTACTGAGGGAAGGCTTGATTGTTAAATTTGTATTTTTGTGTTTCCTATTTTTGTGTGGCATTTTCCTCCCTTCCTCTCCTCTCTTGACGATGGGGACGAAAGTAAAAATTCCACAACTGCCAAAACACTCCATGAAATTGCCCAAGCTTTCCATTGGTGATTCAAGCCTGTGACTGTCTGTAGACAGAATAACTGTAAGGGGTAGAACCCAGAAGAACTTTAACCTGTCCTTGCGTACTCATATGTGGACTATCTAGTGGGGGAGGAGGGGACGGAAAGCAATGCATAGAGATCAGGAACAGAAACAGATGTTTTCCTCCCTAACCTAGAGTCACTGAGACCAATTGTCATCCCCTTCTTTTTTCTTGTGTTTCTAACCAAGCAGCATTTCAAAGCTGTTAAAAAAAAATCGGGTTTATTGAGGAACCTGCTGCAGGTGAATGTATTTATAGGAATACGTTGGTTCTGAGCATCATTGGCTTGGATCAAACTGTGAAGTGTGTGGGCCAACATCTGAGAAACTGTTTAATGTGATCTGAATGGGATTTTGATGATGATTGCCCACCCCAGAACAAACTGTCGGCAATTTCTGTGCAATGCCCAATTTCTACAGTCCTGTATACAATCCATCATGGCATGTGTTGACTGTAACAGAATCCCGTTCCTTTACATCCACCAAATGCACAGGAGTTGGATTTTTAATAACAATGAAAATGGAGGGAGGCATTAGCAGTGCTTACTATTTCCGAAGAATTTATTACTGAACAGCCTGCAATTCAGCTTCAGTACTTCCATGGCCCTGCCTTTGAAACCACTTCCAATGAAATATTTTGCTCATTTCATCCCCATGAGAATGTGCAGGAAATAGTTTAGGGGTGAACATTATGTGTGTGAAAATGTTACTGAGTGTAAATGGAAGCAGGATGAAGATTTGGAGTGGTGGATTTCATACAATACAATTTACATTCATATAGGGTCTATCATGTTGGGAGGCCGTCTCAAAGATCTCGACACTGTTTGTTTGGATTCTATGGCTGTTCACAGGCAATGAACATCTTCTTCAGTGCACAGAATCACTGTTGGTACAGATTGGTCTAGGCCAACATCCCACTAAATTCTCACTCAGCCAGTCACACATTGCACGATCCATTTGGAACTCCTCCATGGAATTCAAAGCATTAGGGTGTTTCATCTCAAAGATGCACCATCATCAACATAAATTCCTTGACAAGTTCCTCTCCCTTAAATCTGGCCACACAGTCATTTACTAGATCTGGCTGGAGCACATCAAAGTCTACTGTTGTGCCCTTGCCTTAGCCAGATCAACTTTTTACTATAGAAACCCCGATCTAGAATGTCCAGGTTAAATGACTCCAATGCACTGCTCACTGAGTCCACAGCTTTTCTCTACACAAGCTGTAGACCATTCAGAACTCTGTAGCCCGTGTCCTCTCCCACACCATACTGCGCTAGTCCATCATTCCCATCCTCGCTTAGCTTGAAGAGCTCCCCATTCCTCAATGGATGAAATTCAAGATCCTAATCCTCACAGTCAAATCCCTCCATGGCCTCGCCCCATCCTACCTCTGCAACTTCCTGCAATTATGTTTCCCTGGCTGCTCCCTTCGCTTAGCGAACACCAGTCTGTTTCACATCCTCCACTTTCTCCACCCAAACATCGGTGGCCCCCTCTCTCCACACCTTCAAAACCTCCCTTAAGACCTATCTTTTCGGCCATTCTTTCTGCCACCTCCCCCCTCAGCTCCCAGATGGCTGCATGAAGCACATTGAGAAATCCTTCCGAGATATTTAAAAACTTAGTGCAAATAATCTAAACATTCAGAGAAAAATGATACATAGGGGCTAATGGCAACAATCCAGCCTGAGAACCTTCTCATGGCATCAAGCAAGTCAATAGCCTGAAAAAAACCTCCGGAGAGAGCTCCACAGGTAATGGAAAATCCCATAGTTAGCATTAAACGAACATTTGCTAGCTTCAGCAAATATTGTGTGTTAGAACCCCATAGTGAGAGGTATTGAAGCTCTGGCCCACAGTCCTTCACTCAATGGAAAATTAGAGACACAATTTTACTGTTTTACTCACAGAGTTTTAAGACTATCCAGTCCTTTGAACATTTTGAGATGGACAGTTTCCAGACGGTTGCCAGTCAACAGTACTTCATTAACACCTGTAGCTCCCTCAAAGACCCCCTCCTCGATGTCTGTGATCTTATTATTGCTTAAATTTCTAAAAAGGAACAAGGGAATGGAGGGAAAAATCAGAAAGTTATTACCTGTAATTGAAAGCACACTTGCAAAATCAGGCCTGAATTATATCAACCGCCCACATGTAAGTGTTGGCTCATGTGCAGATGTAAAACAAGCGGCTTAAAGTTAGGAGTGTCAGCAGTATGTAACGCAAGGGTTTTAGAAGGTCCAATTAAAATGTACTAAAGACAATCAGATAACACAATAAATAATATTTACAGTGATGCAGTTCTCCCCCCCAACCCCCATCCATATACAACATGTTCAACCTTATTCCCTGGGACCAAGAGTAAGATTTACTCAGTGTTGTCTGGCTATTATTATTATTATTATTAATAATAATAATCCTTGAATTGGATATAGTGCTTTTCACATTGGGAGGACATCTCAAAGCTCTTCACAGGATTTACAGTACTGTTTCGTGACTCTGTATTTGTAGGTAATATTATCAACCAGTTTGGATACAGCAATATCCCTCAAACAGCCAAGAGGTGAATGACCAATTGAAGTGAATGAATTCTTGCAGTGGAGTCACATAGCTTAGTGGAGCTCGCACTCCTTAGTGGAGCACTCATCTCACAACAGAGGGCCTGTAGTTGATTCCCGTGCAGGGCAAAATGTTGGTAAGTTTCCTAACTCCAAACACCTCTGTTTACCTAGCAGTAAGTAGGAAGTCGGTCGTTGGTGGATTGGTGGATCGCTCTTGTGGGGGTAATAGTGTCTTAAAAAAATTTTTGGTCACTCATTCCACGACTGTTTGTGAGACACTGCTGTGCGTAGCTGGTTGCCGCATTTCACCCACAAAGTATACAATCAATTCACTTTACAGTATACTCTGTGAAGCACTTTGAGACATTTCAAAGACGTGATAAGGCGCTATATTAAATGCAAGGGTTATTATTATTGAATTTAAAGTTAATGAATTATTGAAAGTTCTGGTAATTTAAATACGACCATAAGCCTTGTTTGTTCACATCAGTGGCTAATTCAGGGGAGATACTTTTTACTCTGACATACTCGCAGAAAAGAGAATGCTGCTATTGTTTCATAATACAATATAAACCATAACCCCTCTCTCAGGGATCGATGTGTAAGTGCACTAATGTTATAGTGATGATCCTTATAGAGCAGTCATGTTAATAATAACTCTTGCATTTGCTACAGAGATTTATCATATCTGTGAAACATCTCAAAGTGAATCACAGGTTTTACTGTAAAGTGTAATGACTGTAAAAGTGTATTTGTAAGCAAATGCGGCAGGCAATTTGTACACAGCAATGACCCACAATCAGCTGTGAGGTGAATGACTGATTTTTATCTGGAAGATTTTGGGTCAGAACACCAGGAAAAACTCCCCTCTTTTTCAAATAGTGCCACAGGATCTTTAACGCCCACCTGAACAGGTAAACAGTTGACTTAGTTTAGTGTATCATCTGAAGGACAGCACCTCCAACAATGCAGTGATGCCCCAGCATTGCAATTGAAGTGTCAGCCTAGATTGTAATCCCAGAGTCCCAAATCAGGCTGAAATCTAATAAGCATCTGGGGCTGATGTTAGCTTGTGGCATCCTATCCTTGGGCTGAGAAGGATAGAAGAAAGAAAACTACCAGCTATCCAGTGCTGAGGATGCTAGGTGAGAGCAGGGTGAGCTCAGGTCTGAAACCCCCACCAACATACACCAACACTCACCATCCAGGCTTATTGCATGAAAAATGACCAGCAGTGTGGGGTAGCATTTGCCAATGAAGAGACACTGTGTCTGAAATAACATGTTTACAAAAGGCCATGGAGCCCAAGCTGTGAAGAGGGAAGGTGAAGGGACAGTTAGATTTAACTATGCAGAAACGGGGTAATATGTGGAATAGATTATCCATGAAGGCACACTGGGTCAGCAAATTCTAGAGGGAATAGATAGCTATTTGGCAAAGAAACTGGGAAATTGGAATCACATAAGCAACAGAGGCTTTTTTAAAAAAAACTTAGGGAATGGTAGGATGGACTGCAATGATTTTTTCTGGTCTGTACCTGCAATTAACCCCCACAACCCCATGTTTATTTGATAAATAGGGATCATCTCCCGGGGTTCCCACTGTTGTGAACCATACACTTCCCCATAGCCCCTGAAAACTGAAAATATTGTTATGGAAATGTGATATGAAACTTATAATACAAATTACATTTATATAGCCTGTCAGGAGGATGTCTCAAAGCACTTGACAATGCTGGCTGGGTACCCAAGCTGAGGGAAGGGGGTGATTAGCGGAAAGATAACTGAAAGCGCGGTCCAAGAGCTACATTTAGCGACGTGCCTTGAACAATGGGAGGGAGGAACGTGTCTGAAAAGAGCAGTGAATCAGTGATTTTCTAGTTAAATACCAAACTTCAGTGAAACAACTAATTAATGTAGCAAGCCACTGCATCACAAATGAGTCAGTCAGTACTATTGATAAGTGGACAGTGCTTACATTGATTTACATGCAGTGTATAACAACATTTGGTTAAATGCCACCGTTATTGTCAGACAACATTTACATTTCACTCTTGTTCCCTGTGCTGGCACCTAGTCTATAGTGCTTAATTTCCTAATTAGAGTCCATGGGCTTGCTTTAGTGGATACGGATCAGGGAAAGAGCTGTCAAGACATTTCCCTTGCCCCATGACCTGCTTTTATTGGCTCACTCGGGAAGTGAACTTTAACTTTCAAGCCCTCATACTTTAATAGCACAGCCTCCTGAGAAGTTATTGGTATTTAAATGTTGAAATACAAGTTTCAGACAGGTGGTAACAACAATTGTTAAGTGAATTCTTTTTACCATTCCTCTCAATGAAAGCATCGCCATTTGAAAAAACCCGAGGTACGCATTGGTGCAGCTTCGGATGAAGCCAAAGCAGTGATTTGAGGAGGACGGCAGGATGCTGAATGAGATTACCGCAATTGCTGTAGGGCGATAGTGGCCAGCAGAGCCCTGCTGTGGCGGCAGAAGAAGCCAACTGTCCAAATGAAGGAGTGGGAGATGCCAGTGATCCACTCGCCGAGAGCTGCTTATTTGGCAACAGCTAAGTCCACAGAGGAACAAGCTGCCAACTCCACTCTGCCTCAGCAGCTGTGCCAAAGGCACATTACAGGTCACTTGCTTAATTGTGCATAGCCTTAAATAATGACTTTAGAAAATCTGGCTAACAGAGGTGCATGACACGCAGGAGTTGCTGTAGGCTCAGAAGGAATCGCACCTTGAAGCTCAAGTTGTACTCACATTTTGCGGAGCTGAGGGAGTTTCTTGAAGATCCCAGTGGCTTCCAGCACTGTAAATTCATTGTTGTTGAGGCGCCTGAAGTATTCAAGAGAAAAAAAAAAGAAAAAAAAATTAGGAAACGTCATTCAGAAGAAAGTAGTGTTTTTACTCAGTCAGGCAACCACTGAGATCTCCTACAGCTAGCGTAGTCTTTCTCGCGGTAGCTTTAATGAAGTTCATCTTGAAAAAAAATCACTTCAAAGTATTCTCAGATAATACTGTACTGCGAGAGTGACACTTACAATAATTCTAAATCCACTCAGTTTTATTACTAACGGAAGATACATTCTAAACCAGATGCAGACTTACTGCCTGTGGGTTTGTACCACCATTGAGTGTATCTCTAAATCATACCACCTATACTTATAAACACAGGACTCAACCATGTTGATTGACCATTAACTGAAGGGTCACACGTCTTGTGCTTTCAGAACCAAACTGTTTAACGTTACTGGCAAATGCAAGAATGTGAAACAATCCACTTTGTGAACAAGGGTTGAATCATCACACTGTGATTTAAGGGAGTGAGTTTTATCACATTATCTTTATATTGGAATGTTAGACTGAGTCCTTCTGATATACAGAACTAATACCTTTACTCTGAAACATAGCACTGTTTACTCTACACCTTTACAGATTTCAGAGCTGCTAAATTCGGCAAATTGCTAAATTCAGTCTCAACTTCCATTTTGGTTTTCTGTATTTTCTTAAAAGAACTTACAGAAAACCAGCTACAAAATTAAAACTGTGCTCTGTATCCTTGTTAAAACATGTTGTTTGGATCCATAAAATCATCTCCTGACTTATAGTGAGGTGTGATAGTGGATTTGACTGTTTACGTGCACAATCGGTCGTCACGTAGAGAGAGCGCTGAAAAGAAACAAATAGACAGCTCCCAGGTTGGTTGATCAATGCAATGTCATTTCCTGTTTTTTTGTGTATATGGACAAGTTGCGAAGTAGTGTTAATGGCAATTCTGATGACCTGGAAGTTGGCCGTTTTCGTGAGTGCTTTCGGAGAGCTAAAATGGTTGACTTTGGAGTCAGTAGGGAGTGATTGATACCACTTCCTGTTTTGTGCACGTGCAGCAAAGCAAGAAGTGACCCAGAAGGCGTCTTAATGAATTGGAAGCCGGTTATTTTAGTGTGAAAAGCTGGCTGATGCATAGGAAATGAGAGAGCTGTGGGTACGCTCATGAACAATGCATGGAATCCACAGTGCATCTCCGGTATAAGCCAGTCACACTATAGAGAAGCATACTGTAACAGGACTGCACTGTATTTAAAAAAATTGCCAAATTAGGGATGCTCTAAAATGTTACATAAATCTAGGTTGAATTTCTCCCTCATATGGGTCAACCTCCAGTATTGCCTTATCTAGCAACGTGACATCTCAACCTCGCTCGATATATCAGTTCATAATTATAAACCTTGCGTTTGACTGGTATTTACCGGGACTACAAGTAATATAATAATAATAATAATAATAACCCTTGCATTTGATATAGCGCTTTTCACGTCGGGAGGACGTCCCAAAGCGCTTCACAGAACACACTGTAAAGTGAATTGACTGTATATTTGTGGGCGAACGCGGCAGCCAATTGCGCACAGCAATGTCCCACAAAAGTATGAACTAATGTAGTTAGTGGCTCATACTTCGCGGTTGCTTCACTAATCTTTTGTAACATATGGGTTCAAGGTTCATCTCCAAAGCAGCCAAACAGAAAGAAAACCCACCCAGTTAAACGTGATGAGCTTGTTACTGTCTGAATCAGGTTTTGTAGAGTGATGGACCAGCACACTGTAGGCATCAATGCTTTCTAACAGGAGCCTAAGTGTTTCTCCCCCTGCTTTCTTTTCTGGTCATCATGTGCATCCAACAGCCCTTCTCCCCTGAGTGCATTTGCTTCTTTCAGCTGGAAGGGAAGCTGGGATATTGCCTGTAGCTGTTTTCTAAATGAATTTTAAATTTCTTTGTTTTGTTGCCAAAATGCAGATGAGAGAGAGTGTCTGTTGTGTGTGTGAGTGCATGTGTAAAGAAGCAAGCCCTGCTGTGTTAACTTACAGCTCAGCGGTGTACTGAGGGATGTGGTCAGGGAATTTGGTGAGTCTTTGATTGGAGCAGTCCACAGTGGTTCCTTCACAACGACACTTCTCAGGGCAAGCAAGATCCATGAAGCAATCTCCGCTGAGCTTGGATCTGTAATCCTCTGTGCCTGCAGATGAGTCCAGTCAGAATGCAGATATTATTCAGTAAGCACATTGAAAAAAAAGCCCACACCGTAAGAGAAGTGGAAATGTACAAGGGAATTGAACAAAATGTCAGGGCAGGAGAATCTCAGGGTGAACTTTAATTAAAACCACACAGATAGCAAAACTTCAAGACCTAAGCACCTAGATCTTGAACTTTATGACAAAGGTAAAGCCAGGGTCTGGAAGAGTAGAGGTAACATTTACAATCTGACCTTTCAATGCAGACACCTTCTAATGCAACTGTCTACTACAAAGCTAGCAATCTTCCCACTCTCCTGTAACCAGTGCAATCATGTGTTACTAAGCCTTATCTAATTCAATTTACTGCTCCCACCTGAGCCATTCTTTTGAATCAGTGACTGGAATTCAAAGCGACTGAACACTTCCAACCCTGTGTCAGTGCCTCTCCTTTCTATAACGGCATCTGGTAAACTCATTGCATTCATCCCCCTCACCTGCCTTTCCACTCCATACCTCGTCTATCATTTTTATCCATTGTTTTTTTATTGGAGAAATTCAATCAGCTGTGACCTCAATACAGATGCAATAAAACAGTTCCTGGCTCTAACGTCTTCCACCTGCAATACTACCATCCCAAGTCTTGGTGGCCTTTGACAGGCTCGCTCTAAATATATCTACTGAATTTGCTGTAGATGAGAGCATGCTGTAGAAGGCTACGTGACGTTCCATGGTGCTTGACAGAACCATGTTTTATTCGTACCTTGCAACCACATGGTTAGATCAAGCACAACGAAAAATCCCGCTGAGTCCCAGAACCGCATCAGCTAGGCCAGGTAAAAGTGTGAGGGGAAATATTACGGGAAAGAAGGCACAGCATTTAAATGGTAGAGGGTGTAGCATTAGGGGTCAAGGGTACTAAAGCACTGGTATTCACAGCCAAAACATTGCTTTTCAGACTCAGTAACAATGGACAGTGTAACAGCTACTGAGAATGTACCCTACACACAAGCAGTAAACATGCCTAAATGAAAGAGAAGTTCTTTCTAAGATCAAGTGCCCCAGCTTGGTGCTTGGTATCACTGCTAACAAAACAGGGAGAGGTCACGTGAATGGTACTGGGGTGGGTAGGGGTACTGTTACTGAGGCTTGGATGATTTGTTGAGAACTGCCAGGAGAAGAGGTGAGGAATGATGGGTGAAGGATCAAGCTCAGTACATATAGGGGAAAAACAACTGGAGGGAAAGAGAAATCAGTGCCAGAGGTGGGGAATAAAGATCTCAGTTGTACTTACAGCCAAAATGGTGAATTCCTGCAAAAAGTAAAGTGCAGAAGGGACAGAGAGAGAGGAAGATAGAGAAAAAGAAAGAGAAAGCGATTGCATTTATAGTCAGGAAAGCAAAGAAGCCAATCCAAACTTGTGTTAAGATTCTTGCAGGGCAGCAGTTGTCAATTTGGCTGAATAGAAGAGATCCTTGGCTCAAATAACTTTCACTAGGAAGCACTTAGACAATGCAATACTGCACTAACCTGGATCCGACCCCACCTGTGTACAGTACGATTGTGAAGATGCACTGAACACTGGGCAACACTTGTCTGTCAGGCAAGGTTCTTGACAACTCCCAGCGACAAGTTACAGAGTGCCAGGCAAGTGTTCCCTGCTGGTGTGGGATATCTGGGAATAAACCCTTAATTATTGCCTGATCTATAACCCTAAAGGCACTGGACTGTGGCACCACTTTCAAGAACCTTACATTGTACATGAGCAATGGGTGTTTACAGCTAATGATGGTAAACACAAGGGAGGCCACTTCATGGATTTTGTACCAAAGCACATCAAAAGAGCTTCAGTATTCACTCGGACTGCCTCTGGCTATAAAAAAAATGCCTGCAGCCTGCTGTTGGACACGTTAAATATTTCATTCACTTGACATATTTGTCAAATACTCTGGGAAACCAAGGCTTAAAACTTGAAAAACAGTCAAAACAGTTCCTGCAATCAATCTCGACCGTACTTAGGGATTTACTCTTAGTGCAGCTCCACTCTGTGTTAGGTCAGAATATGCTCATTCTGCATTCATACCGGCACACAAGCATATTAGTGATATGCACTACTCATATTCACACAACACACACACCACACATCATCGTTTATTAATGGACATGAAGATTAGCTGGTCTATTCAGATCAAATTGTCTGCTGGGAACAATCTAATCTTCATTAGCTAGAGCAGTAACAGAATTACACTTCACTAGCACAGCTACACTGTTGCCAAAAATATGAAGATGGATCATTTTCATACACCCCAACCTCCCCCCACCAACCCCCTGCAATGTTTAAAAAATTCTTTAAAGGTGGAACTTTTTGGCAACCATTCATCTTTTGAATCAGTTTTTGGAATTCAAAGTGACTGAATACTCCCAGCCCTGGTCAGTGCCTCTTCTTTCTGTAACAACGCATCTGGTAAACTCCTATCACAGTAGGGATGAGAAAGCCCTCCTCAGGAAAACAGAAGCGATTCTGCCATTTTGTCACCAGAAAATGAGCCTCAAAGGTTGTGTAGGTTTTGTAAATAGGGGTATAGAATACAAAAGCAAAGAGGTAATGCTAAATGGATAGAAATTATTAGTTAGAGAACAGTAAGAATATTGCGTGCAGTATTGGTCAACCAACTTTAGGAAGGATGTCAAGGAAATAGAGGAGTTGATAAAAGAGAGACTAGAGGAACTGGGACTTTTTCTGTTGGAATAACGATGGTTGAGAGGTGATCTGATAGAGGTCATTATAATTCTGATGGATTTTGATCGGCAGAAATTATTTCCACTGGACAGGGAGTCAGTGACAAGAGGGCATCAATTTAAGATAGTTAGCAAATGAGCGAATGGGGAGGTTAGGAGATTTTTTTTCACATACAGAGAAGTTAGGATATGGAACACCCTACCGGGATTGGGGATTGAGGAAAAATCCAGATTGGCTTTCAAAAGGGAACTAGATAAATATGTAAAAGGAGTCAATTACAGAAGTATGGGGGAAAAGTAAGTAAATGGGACTGAAAGGATTGCTCTTGAAGTAGCCAGCACAGACACAATGGGCCAAACGGCCTTCTTCTATCTTGTCAATTTCTATGAAATTATAATTCTACGGTGACAGGTTGATTCACTAAAGGGCAAGTTTCCAATCTCAGCCTGTAGAAGGAAAAAGCAGAGGCGAACGTGGAGATGCAAAGGGCAGATAACTAGCAGTGCAATCAAGTGTCTGGTTCAGAGAACCATAGCAGAGGCCTCAGAGCAGGTCAGAGGATTGAAGAGATTGGGCGAGCATGAATTTCTACCTGTTTTCAGGGCTGCAAACCCTTATTTCAATTTGCCCACCACTACATATTTGTGTGTTTCAAACCCACAGGATTGTTCAAGCATCAAACTGACTTGTTGCAACTATCGCAGGGCCAGTAGCTCCCCTTGCCCTTTCCGAACCACTAGAGAGGAAAACTGTGAACCAAGGGCAGCACCTGCTCTTTCTTCCAGTTTCAAATATTGGTATTCCCACATCTGTGTGTATGTGTACATACATGTGTGTAATATACATGAAAGTTCCCCAGTCAAACAAAGAAGACTGGGGAACACATCAATATTAAAAAAAAGTCCCTAGGTGGGGGAGTGTCAAGAAAGTAAAATGAGAATAAAAGGAACCCCATCATATTGGCAACTGTATAGCAGGCTTAGGAAGCATGGAGACTTAAGGATTTGGCTAGGTAGCTAAAAGAGCACATGCAACAGATTCAGCTACTGGAAGACTAAGCAAGGGACCGTCTAAAGGGAGATTCACTGCACAACTACAGCATGCAACACTCCACTAAAGCCTAAGGGAAATCCATAGCTCATCAGCCCCACTGCAGGAAAACCTACCTGGAATGAAATACTGTTCTTTCGCTATAAACACAACAAAAGAGAGAAAGACAGAAGAGATGCACCTGAATGTTAGCGGCCAGAAAAAAAGAAACAATTTACTTTGTATTAAATCCACAGATTACTCCATTATTGTCTTGTCAACAGCAGCAAAATAAAAGGCAAAGTCAAATTGAACTTGACTGACCTACTATGGTTAGCACGGAGTCAGAAACAAAGGGGAAAAGCTGCTGAGAACCTTAATAATTCAACAGCAAAACAGACACATTTTCAGAATCCACGTGAGATCAGCAGCATGCCAAGAGAGCTCTTTTTTTAAAAAAAAACACACATTTCTAGAATAACGAAGTTGCCGGAATTCAATTACCTGAGCAGCGGAACTTCTTGCTTTTGATCTGCCCGATCCTCTTGTTTGCCAGGCGGCGAGGGCTGGTGCAGCGGGCACCACTGGTTTCAATGGGGTTTGCGTGCAGGTAGTCGGCAAGCCACTTCAAGTGGCAGTCACAAATGAACGGATTCTGCGCCAAATGCCTTTTGAGAGGAATAGAAGCAAATAAAGTAGACACAGGGTCAAGTCAACCAGGAACATAAGGCGCACGCTGGAACAAATATGAAACAGCAGTGCTGGGGGCTCCTGAAAGGAAACCGGTGTAACTCACTGGGAACGGGTGGATCTGGGCAATGTTGACGATTGCTATTTGCAGCTGACATGCATTTATTGGGAGTCTGATGAAACATTAAGAATCTACAATGTGCAAGTTGGCAACGGACCCAGTAACTGTGAGTGTCCACTTTGAAACGGCCAATCCCCCAGGTTGACGAGCCATGGCAAGACGACAATGCTTGAATTATTTAATGCAAGCTCTGGCTGGAAGAGCATTTGCTTATCAGATACACTGATGCAGCAGGTTTCAGAGCACTGCTGGTAACTATGGGAAATGAGCCTTTTAACAAGTGACTTTACGAAACTGAAGGAAATCCGATAATGCGCTCAGTGTGGAGGAGTGGTGTTATGTCTCGGGATGTATGCATTTAATTTGTAGTTATTCATTCTTAAAATAATGTCATTTGATCAAACACTAGGACCTCGGCAAAGTGCAGACCTGAAGGGTCAAATGGTCTCCTGTGCTGTAAATTGCTATAAAAGACATAAGCGATGTTAAGAGTCGATGAAAGGCCATTTAGCCACTAACACTCATTCTTCTACTAATATAGCTCACCAAATACAGCATCCAGCTTCAGTTTTAATGTCTTTAATGTTTTTGAGACTCCAATCCCATCTGGCTGTATGTTCCAAACATCCATCACTGAGTCTAAACTTATTTTCTTAGGCCTAGCTGAACGCATCTTGCGCCAATTAAATGTATCTCTGTGCTCCATTACAATTGAGTCAGGATGTGGGTCTCCACTCGCAATGATTCACACTATGCTATTCATGAACAGCGACTTGCTCCCATGGCTGCTCATGAACCTCATTACTGGATGGCGCAAGAGCTGTCTTGCTTGGAGTGCTGAATGAGACACAGTGACATGGCCCAGGGAAATTCAATTCAATTATATTTCCTCCAGTTTTCTTCCATCCCTCTTCAGGAGGAGTGAGTACATTTAAATCCAATAATACAATTTATATAATGCCTTTCCTGTCAGGAGTATGTCTCAACGCCTTTGACACTGCTGGCTGAGCACTTGACTTAGGTTGTGAGCCAAAGGAGGTGAGGAGGGGAAAAATAACAAGAAGTGCTGTCAAAGATATATGTCTTGACTCAAGATGGGGAGTGACTGAAGCTGCAGTACGGTTCCACTTGCAATGGCCACCTTCCTGTCCCAAATCACATGTGAACATGGAATATCAACAGTCTGTCCAGTCCAACCATGGAAGGAAATCAAAGCACAGGTTATCCTTCTGAGTCCACCCAAGGCAACTTTCTAGCAACAGCCACTGGAGAGCGATGTTCAACAAGAATGTTGGCTGGTATCCCCCTCCCTAACCCAGACCCTAAACGTAAGTAAATTGAAAAACAAATTAGCATCATTCACTTCATGAATAACCGAGAATACATACAGAGTCTGGATGGCTCGCAGAGGGGCAAAGGTTCCTTTGGCAATAGTTTGTAACTTGTTGTCATACAGAGAGAGAAGGTTCAGGTTATGGAGATCCTGAAAGGCATCCACACGCAGGCAGTTTATTTTATTGGCATTCAGCAACCTGTCAGGAAAAAAAGGTACCTGTCACTAAACATACAACCTCAGTACAAAACTATAAGATGTTTTGGTTTGCAAAATCTCACTTAAGACAGCCATAAAGTTTGTTGCCAAGGAGAGAGTTTAACTCCTTTGCAGGTGGAAGTGCTTTGCCTGTTCCTGCTGCTCTTTGACATCCTGTTATTTTTCTGCCTGAAATGTATATTCTTAAAACCCTCTGGCTTTGTTCCTACAGAACTGCCTTTTATTTCCTTCTCCATGGTCACTGCCAATGGAGCTCCATGTCTGGCCAACATTTAACTGGGACCTCCCTCTTACTAGAACATGCTGTTTCAACAAAATACTCCACCTGCTGGTCTGGCTGTAAAATGGCAAAAGCGTATTGCAAATGGTTTACAGCAAAAAAAACTTGCATTTATATAGCTCCCTTCAAATGGGGTAGAGTCTTGAGTGCTGAAACCAAGGGAGTGTGTGATAGGCACCCTTAGGCTCAGTCTGCACTGATACCCCTCGATTACCTTCCTGTACAGGCTGTAGGTCACCTAAACTCTTTAAAATGTCCATTATCTCATTATTTCGGATCAGATTCTCATCTGTCTTTTCAACTGGACATTAAGGATCCCATTACACTATTCAAAAGGGAGAGAAGGCAATTTCTCTTGGTGTCCAGACCAACAACCCTCCCAATAAAATTGGTCATTCACTTCATGGCTATTTGTGGGATGTTGCTGTGTGCAAGTGTGCAAATTGGCTGCTACAACTGCCAATAAAATAATAATAATAATCCTTGCATTTGATATAGCACTTTTCACATCTTCTAGACGTCTCAAAGCTCTTCACAGAATATACTGTCAAGTGAATTGACTGTATATTTGTGAGCGAAACGCGGCAGCCAATTGCGCACAGCAGTGTCCCACACAGTCGTGGATTGAAAATTACCAATTTATTATTGTTTTGTTTTGGAGGGATTATTATTAGGCGTGTGGAGTAAGGAAACTTGCCCAAAGTTTCGCCCTGCCTGGAATTGAACCCAGGTTTCTCGCTTGCAAGGCGAGTGCTCTAACCACTGAGCTACAGGACTCCACACAGTTACTACACTTTGCAGCAAATACTTTGACATGTCCTCCTGAGATGAAAGGCGCTATATCAAATGGAAGAGTATCATCATTCTGTTTGATCTAAATTGATACAGAAAAAGATCTATGTCATACAGTGACAATTCCAGACTAATATGAACTAAGAAGACACGTTAGGCAAGCAAGCTCCAGCACTCATACAGCTAAGATAATTGAACAGATAGTCTGCAAATTAAAATTGCATTTTGAAGAGAAAGCACTCTGTTACTCCTCACTGAGTGACATAAGTCGTGGTGCTGGTCTCATGGTACTAACTGCATAAATGGATTAACTGCATAAAACCATTCATGTAGTTAATACCAACTGAAATGTCACTGGAGTCTATCAGTGCTCCCCAATAATGAGGGTTGAATTGAAGTCACAAAGCTAATTTAATGGGAGTTACAATATGCAAATCAAACCCATGTGCTGCTCGTTTCTTATGGTCCTCACATGATTTATTCAGTGAGTGACTTCAGGAGTTCCAGGGAACATACTCTCAGCATGACGTTCTCATTTTCTCTTTACCAGCAAATCCGTGCATACTGTTCCTCAAACCACATATTACCCAGGATTTCTAAATCAGACATCCTCTAGGATGCATCTATTGCTTTCCCCCACCCCCATCCTGTGTGAGAACTGTTGCCTGCAAAAAAATCTTTTCTATAGCATAGAAAATTTGTTTTTGGCCTTTTGGCTAGGATCCAGGCTGGGATGAGCACTGGCTTAACAATCTGATCTGACGTGAAGACCATGTCCTGTTCCTTTGGGAGGCAGATGGAGTAAGGAATATGAGAAATGTTTCCTATACAAAATGTTCTCTAGAGGTTAACAAAATCCACCCTCGTGCTAACTCCCCAACATTTATCTTTCCCCCACAATAAATAATCAAATCTTTTTGAAGTAGCATCTTGAGCTCAGTTTATTTTCCCTCAAACTGATAGATGCGCTGATAGATTGCCGACTTATTTATAATCTCCAGGTAATACTAGCTCATCTCAGATCATGCCCGGGAAATCCCAGTGAAAAGCACGGCAGCCAAAGCGTTTTACTGGCAGTCTGCATCAAAACTACAAATAGCCCTCTGCACGAATGAGCCATTTCAGGAGAACGGATTTGGAAAAGGTATCCGAGTGTTCTGAATTTCACTGCAATTTTTTTTGCAAACAAAAGGGAATAGCAGGAGCTGCTTGCACAGACGAGCTGCCTGCAGGGCTTCATATTCTCCTGTGGGAAGGCTTGTTTGGCATCTCTTTGTGGGAGAACAATTCGCTAATGGGGCCACCACATCTGTAGTAAATCATTCACTCCATGCACAACACCTGGTCATTCCAATCCTCAGGACTTGCTAAACTGAGGTGCACTGCAGATCAGAATGGCCTCTGCTGACTGGCATTCTCTAAGATTCAACAGAGCCCAATAATCTTTTAATGCTTTAAACAGAACGGGTTTTAAAATTCGCTCAGAATTTTACGTATCGTTTAATTGCCTCCAAATCTTTTTATTATAATTTAAACTTCCCTACTCTTCCCCCAACTTCCCTGCCACCTCAGTTAGCAACATCCCTGCTGCCGTGAAACTGAGCCTCAGAGAGTCCCAGGATTGATCTCCCATTTGTCTGGGTTAGTTGATCTCAGCCAAGACAGTAATAGGGACATTATAGTTGCTGTCAGCAACCCTAGGCTTAAAGAGGGATAAAATCAGCTAGGGTTCTTGCTCCTGATGCAGTGGAAAGTGCATAGACTGTATATGTTGGCATTAGATGAAGACAGCACTGTGATGCTTCCTGGCTGAATTCTGCTAACATTCACTATCTGGCTAATTTATGTGGTAGTGTCAGACCCTATGTAAAGCTTGCATTAAATGTAAATTTTAGACTGCTGGATTAAGAGTCTTGCTATAGAACAGTGGTGGCCAACCTTTTTGGTCGGCCAAACAAATACATTTTTCTTTATTGAATTTTTCCTCATTTATGGTCGGGTATCATGACTTGGGAGCTACTGAAAACAAGGTATTGATTTGGCATGGACTTCTCTGGGCTGTTGTGGGTGTTCAGCGGGCCACTTCTTAACGCCACAAAAGTGTTCCTTTGAGCTACTCCATTACACTGAGATGTGTGCTTTCTAAGCTTCATTCCTGCCACACATCACTGGCTTCACACATTCATAGAGAGTGCCTGCCTGGCACTATATACTGCAAATCAGCCAAATGAATGGTACTGTCTCAGCTCATTTCTCCATGCAAGTGGAGGAGCCAGTAATTCCCAGATAATCTGTCGTAGAATGCCACTGCCCTTTAATAATGCTGCAAACACATCCTATTTTCTTTCCAGTCAGGCCCAGCTTCTGATCCATCTTCATTCCTGCTGCTTGCTTTGACAGTGTGTGATAAACATATCAACATTGTTCACACATGGCAGAGTCCAAACTAAGACATCCAGCAGGGACGAGGTCAGCAAATATGACAGCTTCCACAACAGGCTCACCCACCATAAGAGACACAGAGAATGAGAGTGCGGATTCCATAAATTCTCCACGCTCACTTTGTCTGTACTGTACAAATCCAGTGGAAACAAAAGTGCTATAACCCCAAACCAACATGCCCAACAGGACACACCCATTGTTCTGTAGGCTTCTGGTGCAAACCCTCTCCTTCCTTTCGGGTAAGGGGTACGTTTCCGGTGGTCTGATTCCCAAGCCCGTATTTCCCTGAAAGCTTAATCAATAATGTTTCCGCCGAGAGAGGCTCACCCGACACAAGAGACAAAGCATTTCATAGCATTTAATTAGCATGAAATGACTGAGTTAAAAGAACATATTTAATCTATACTGGATTTGGAGGGCTTTGATGTTTAACAAGTATAATAATACTTACATTTCACACAGCATTTTATCAGACAGAAAATCTCAAAGGGCTCCACAGAATCAATTCCTTTGAAGTGTAGTGACTGATGTTGTGTAAAAAATCATGGCATCTGATCTGGAACAGCAACATTCCACTAACAGAAAGTAATAAGATTTTGGGGGCTGAATTTGTCTGGATATTGTGAGATCTCCCTTTTTATTCCAATTACTGTAGGGACAACTGGTCTTTAATGTCCATATGAACAGACAAACAGGATCTTAAATTAACATCTCATCCAAAGGATAGGCACTTTCAACAATATATTGGCACTTCCTGCATTGGAATCGTATGGATTCTGACCTCAAGTCTGAGTATGGGACTCTAACTCACAACCATCCATACACTGGATTTGGATTGAATTGCAGTGCATTAGTGAACAACAACAACTTACACTTATATAGTGCCCTCCACACAGGGTAGCATCTCAGAGCGCTTAACAGTGGGATGGGGGGGAAGAAGGTGGCCGTAAGCATGGTCTAAGAGGAAGATTTTTAGGCAGGACTTGAAAAAGAGAAGAGAAGGGGCAAGGCGGAGGGATTGAGGGAGAGTGTTTCAGAGTTTTGGGGTATAGTGGCTGAAAGCACCTCCTCCGATGGTGGGGCGTGTGGTGCATTGGGGAGTGAGGAGATCGGGGAGGTGCCAAAGAGTGAAGGGATTTGAACACGGGTTCAATAAACACATATGCACTAAATCAACAGTCAGTCAAGTATAGACACACCTAGTCACAACCCAATCAGGTACATCCAGTTTCTCACTGATCACATATAAGCAAAGTGCAGAAAAATAGCTGACTCCCAGGTTTTTGAGTCACTGCAGATGTCACTTCAAACTACTGAGCAGGTGTAATGTGACTTATTGTGCTTCCTGCACAGTGCACAAGAAGTGACATGGATAACTAACTGTTTCTTCCTATGCACACAGCCAGGGGTAAGAGCTAGGGGAAAGGCTGAATCCATCCTGATTGAATTTAGAACTGAAACACTGCACGTCCCTAGTCTGTGCTGATCACATTAGGATTGTATTTTACATGTTGGAGATTGCCCCATCTGCTCCAACTAGGCCCAGCTGCTCTTTACTTCTAAACTCTGTCTAATATTATTCATGGGTATTGCACTATCTGCAGTGCTGAGCCTGCAGGCCAAGATTGAAGCCAGGAGAGCAATTCATCCCTTTCATGATGAAAACCACACAGCTATTTGCACATACAAAATGTACATGTACAGGGCTAGATGGATTTCCTTTGCACAATTATCCCTATGCCTTAAGTCCAAATTTGTGAAGGTGCAGCTAGTATCAGGTGCCTGGTGATGTTCTTTCTCAACCTAATGTTGAAGAGTTAGAAAATGCACACTTACAGCAACTGCAGAGAGAAGAGACCCTCGAACAAGCCTTTGGGCAGCTCTGTGATTTTGTTCCCATACAACACACTGCGAAAAGAAAGCAGAACAACACAGTCAGCAGACAAATGGAAAAAACATTCACACAGGATCAGCTTCTTTTCTACAAACACAATGCACACTTGCAACTTATTAATTCTAAATGTTTTATAATTTTAATGTTTTCTGATCAATTGTGTATCTGACACAAACAGAAATCCATTGCAGTGTTTGAGAATATCCAATCCAGACTGAGAGCTCCACAAATCCATGGAAATTTCCCTTTGCCTGGAATGGAGTGCTCATTCTTTCCCTGGAGGGAAGTTTATCTTATCCTAGAAAGCATTCAACACAGGTTGGCAAGGCTTGTGGACTCCAGAGTGTGTGCTAGGGTACTGGTAGAGTTTAACCAGCTAAAAACATGTAGCTTGCTATTGATTGCAAGCTTCCTGCTGCTGTTCAGCTTGGACAATCCTACCCGTTAGGGATTTGTCTTGCAGAGTTAACAGGAGCTGACTGGGAAGAGTCCCTGTCCCTGGTGACTGGTCTGCCCCTCCAATTACTGATGATGAGCCAGGCAAGCTGGTCTTTCATCAACAGTGCCTTGGAGTACTACGAATTCAACTGGCTCAGAAATCAGACTCCTAAGATTTCTGATCGCATTATAAGCCCTTAACAAAATAATTCCTAGAGTTAGTGATCAGTGCGTAATGGGGCTAAAATTGTCTCTTGCAAATGAAGCATCATAGCCCAGTCAACTATGCATTTCACAGAAAATAGTCCTAGCTGTAATAAATAACATTTTAGTCCCTAAGAATATTCATGTCTATTCTGCAGTTTTAATGAAGAATAGATTCATACAGTCCAGTAGCCTCCCAGTCTACCTGTACTGAGTTAAATGATTTCAGCTGAAAAAGTAGCATATGGGATTGATAGCTTGTCTCAATGCCTCTGGGTTAAAAAGTGGGAAACATCTACGCAAGGTTCCTGCTCCTGACTGTGCACAACAACACTTGCTGAAGGTGCGGTGTGTGTGCGTGTGTGAATGCGCGCATGTGTGTGTGTGCACGCCTGGTGAGGACAAGGTCAAGTTCAGTTGTGATGCGATCCACGCTCCAATAGTCTGCCCAAACTCCCTGTGTGAACAAAGGGCACTTGCTTGACTGAGGTGCCTGGTGTGTGTGTGTGTCCCAGTGGAGGTCAGGAGAGGAAAAAAATTAAAAGCAAAAAATAACTCTGCCTGCGTGTAAACCAAATAAATAATAATAATCCTTGCATTTGATACAGCGGTTTTGATATCATGTTGTTGAGAAGTCTCAAAGCACTTCACAGAAGAAACTGTAAAATGGATTGACTGTTTATTTTGTTTTGACAGAATAGTTTTGTTGAAATCATCCTGAAAGTTCCTGGGATTCGGGGTGGATGTTCAATACTAATTCGCTCACTGAGAACTAGATAGTCTCCCTTGTGTCAAGCAGTGAGCTTCGGAACCCAGTTAATTGGAAGACGTAGGGTAAGTAAGCAGAAACCTACACACTTTGGCACTTCTCTCAAAAACAAACAGTGGTTTGCACAGCCTGTCCGATATGTGTTGGGAATATTGTTTCCAATTACAGCCAATGAATAATGAACAAAAATAAATAGTGTTACCGAAGGCAGCATTGATTCCCTCGGGTTGTTCATGCTTTTCTTTCTGTGTGTGTCAATGACATTAACATTCACAGAACATCAAAGTGTCCGTTTGTAGTCCCCTGTGAGACTTCAGTAAAGGAAACAGAGGCAACACAGACTGCATCCGCCACAGCCCCGTCTCATTAATGCGATTTCATCAGTAATGTCTATGAAAACAATCCTGGACTACTAGCAGTACCACTCTACTTTAAAATGTAGTAAGTAAACATTTTTGTTTTTTAATATGAAAACCACATGTCTTTAGGGAACTTGGAATCAGCGTTTTTTGTCCATTGTGGAGCTTTCAGTGTTGAAACCCATCAGAAGTTGAGCCAAGGCTCTCTGTGGCCCGTGGTAGGTCTGCATTCTCAATGATGAAAGCATAATGGCCCATCAGCTGAACACAGCTAGTCATGCAGAAAAGGGTTCAAAGGAGTGTGGGATAGCGATGGGTAGCATTCATACTGGTCACATTTCTGTAAATATTCCAGGTAGGGCACAGAAAAGAAAGCAGTGCAGGGTTACGAGCAAAGGAAAACAGGAACAGGAGGAGGCCATTCGGCTCATTGAGACTGTTCCACTAGTTTAATAGATTTTAGCAGATCTTTTAATCCCATTGCCCTGCCCTTTTGCTATATCCCTTTATACCTCTACTACTCAAGTATCTGTCTATCTCTCTTTGAAATATCCCTATTAACTTTGATATATCCTGCTTGGAATGTGCCAAACATGCTCATTATGCATCTATAATCCAGCATCAGAATAACCTACATTTAAACCTACATTCAGAACCATAAGGTTTCAAAACAAAATATTTCCCAGTGTCCTGGACAATGCTGAGGGGGAAGAAATTGAATGATCTTTCCAGTTAAAGTGGCTTTATTGGACCAGATTGACAGAGTGTAGCTATTATGGAAAATAGTTAATACATAAAGGTCTTGATGAGCAGACTGTAGCTCTGAGAACACTGCAGAGGGAGCTGCAGAGTGAGACACCTCAATACACTTATCAGTATCCCATCCTCAAGGTAAGATCCATCAAGCTGTACTACCAGATAAGGGCAAACATGGACACGCACCATTATTTCACTGAAAGGACTTCACAGGATCACAAGATTAGTTTGGTTGAAGAAAGCCTTTCAGCCCATCTCATCCTTACAGAATACCTTCCAGCCTCCCATCACAGTTTCAAATTAGTTCAAATGCAGTATTTTGTTACATTCTGTGAACAGTGTTCATCTGGTTAGTCTGGCTCCATCAACTCGAATCTCTCCCAGCTGTCCCTCAAATAATGCTTATGTTTGTTTTGCAGTGGTCTTAAAAGTTTTCACAAGATTTTCAACCAGTTCTTTAGTCCAACAGCTGTTCATGTTAGTTCAGCGTGCTTTTCTATCGTGTAAATGACGTTCGATTCTGCAGAGCATGTTGTTAGCAAGGGCAAAGGAGCAGGTTAAAGGAGCCCTGAGTGTCTACACTGGCGGAAATGGATAGACAACAATTGTTAAAAGTTCAGTCCAACTTAAACAAAAGCTTATTGACAGTTGCCAGATTGGGACATGAGTGTCAGGGATGAGCTAGCTGCCTGTCCACAGATGTGCAAACAACCTTGGAGGGTGATGTGGTGCAAGACGCTACCCGTGTGAAGGGCTCTATATAAATGCAAGATGTTAGTGCTGGTGCCTTGAACCTGCTCTGCAACAATGAACTAGGTTCCTGTCTGCAACACTCTCACAAATAAGTTTGATATCTGAGCCAGCGAGCCCAGGGTTTGGCACTTTCTCCCACACTGGAGGGGGGGGGGGCAGGGAATAATGGTAAGAATCAAAATAGCTGTTCTATGCTACAAGCTATTAGCCTTATTGAGAATATCAATGCGGTGGTCTGGGCACAGACCAATAGGATATATAACACTGTGAGGGGAGTTAGAAAGAGAGATGGAGAGAGAAAAAGAGAGATTTATAAAGAGGAAATAAAAATCATACTCTAGTGGACTGCCACCAGATTTTTTTTCATGTGAGCATGTGCAACAATATCCCAAACCTCAAGCACCAACTCTCCTTAGTGAGGGTGGCTGTGATGTTGATGAAGTCATAGCTGGAGACCTGAAGTCTCCACAGGGAAATTCTCTTGGGTTTAGCCATGGGAGCAATGAGTAGAACTGCTGTAACGTCATAAGGAAACATTAAGGAGTGCAGTGGGTTATGAGGACAGTCTCCCTTCACAGGCTTCCATTGATCCAGATTTTCACGCTGTCTTTGATTTACATTGACTTATTTTTCTGTTGCTCATGGTTGCCGGATTCAAAACGTTCACATCAAGTAAGGTCGGGTCGGACTAATTTTAAGGGAAAAATATAGTGGCGCCCAGGATTAAAATGATCACTTTTGTCTAATAACCTCTATGGAGCTCTCTTGTGACTCTGCCTTTAGTTTCAGTATAGAATTTGTTGTAGTAAATTTGGACAGATTATAGCAACAAACGAATTGGGAAACATACAGCAAACAAGTTTTGTTTTTAAAAAAGTTGGCATGTAACAGGACACTGACATACTTGAAACAGCCACACTAAAACCTTGTCCTGAAATGTGCTTGTAACTTACAGAGAGTTAAGTGACCTTAATCCCTGGAAAGCATCCGGTGCGATTTCAGAGATGTGGTTGTTGCTCAAGTCTCTGAAAGGACAAAGAGAACATTAAAAGGTTAACTGAATCTGATCAAATAAGGTGCCAGGCGCTTGCCTGGCCACGTCAGTTGCCGTGTTCCCTCTCAATAAGAGTTCCCAAACCAGGTGGGAAACTCCCAGCCTTGCATCTGTTTCTTATTTTTCTGTTGTTCTCTGCCCTGCGTGCTGTATTTTACAGCCAAACAATCTCAGATGAGGCAGTAAGGCCAGCTCCCAGTGAGGGGCTTTCACTGATGGCCACACACCAGGAACTCAGCTGGCGTGCTTTTTTGTTTACAATTTATTGCTGAAAAATCTCCTCCTGAGCCACTTTTCTCCTCTCTCTACTAGGCTAACTTGGACTTTCCGTACATTTCACGCCACCATTAGTGGCTCAGCTTTCCAATTAAATGCCCCTAACTTCTCGAACTCCCTCTTTCGACCCCTTGATCCTCCTACCTCTCTATCTACAAAAAAGACTGTTCACCTAAAAAATACAGTCACTGCACTTTAGAATAAATCCTGTAAAGTGTTTTGAGGCATTCTCCTGAGCTGAATAATATAGTATCAAATACATTATTATTATTATTATCTGTCTTAAGTCCTGCTTTAAAACCTATTTGTTCGACTATGTCTATGGTCACCTCCCTTTTCCTCCTCCCCACTGCTTGTCATTTGTTTCCACCACTGTAAACATTATTCTCCATGAAGGGCACTTTATTAATACAAGTTGCTGTTGTTGAATAACCACAGATTATTTTTCATTCTGCAAGGTTACCAGCTCCATGTGTGATCACGGCTACAACACGATCCCGTAACTCAAAGGAAAACACTCCATGATACAATTTTGAGAGTCTAGACTCTCTTCATTCACAGTTACCCGCAGCTTGTAACTGCTACTCTCTGCTGAGGTTTCCAAGGCATTTGGAGTATGCTGCTATTCAGCTAATAAAATATTGCCGCCATTTCCTTATGAAGTCCCAGTGGAATAGACTTCACTTGAAAGGGATTTGATGATATCAAAATGAGTGACAAATAAAAAGTTTAATTGATTGGGGGGGGGGGGGGGAGAAACACAGCTGTGTAATAATTTTCCATCATAAAAATGATTCATTTTGTTTCATCTCACGGAACTGGGAGCAGGATATTCCTGAGTAAAAACAAATGGATTCAGCAAAAGAAAACACTGGATATCTGGGCAATCACTTTTAATGAAAAGCATTAAAGTGAGTTGTGTATTGATTTGCTTAATAGAAAATATCAGGCGTGCTGGAAAACTGTTTGTCTTTAAATGCTTATGGGAAGATGGGGTCTTTTGATGTGCAAATGCATTGACGGGTGTGACATTGAGCCACAAAGTTCAGGAAATTTCATGTTGGATTACTGGTCTGTGATGAGTTAACTGCTATCAGCCTCGATGGTGATAGGGATACACTAGTTAGTCTAAAGTGACTCTGTGCAGGAAGGGAAACAGCCACCCAGGGTTCACTGCAAAACGTGCTGGAAATCCCTTGTGTCTGAACATTCGCTGAGGACACGGTTGGGCTCGCCTTTGATGTCCTGCTAGCACTCAATAGCCATGGTCTCACACAAAGCATGACCTCATGTGGGTGGGCTATGGGGAAGCTTCTGCTAAACCATACCCAGCAGATATCACAGCCTTCAGTAGGTTGGGATAGTTGGAAGAAAGTCTTGTGGGGAGATTTGGTCATTCGAGTACCAATCCAGTTTCAGGATAGTAATTCCAGGGAGTCAAATTCAAGTTATTGTCTTTTTCACAATCAATCAAACCAGTTTTGATTCTTAACAGACACTAAGTCTAAAAATATCTTCTCTGAGAAACTAACAAGGTGGTGAGGTGGGGGGGTGGGTGAGGAAGGAAGTAAGCAGGGTCTCCTGAGGATCTAACATGTCTGTTGGGAGGTGGGTCAATAGAAAACTAAAGTTGCTGGTGGTAGATGACCTGACTGGCCCAGGAATAGACATGTCCTCCATCCTGGGAGGCAAAGCAGTGTATTTCAAACCACTGCTATTATTTAATGTGAAATGACTGAAGTATTTAACCTCTAAGATTTATACACATTAATGTAATGAAATACACCTACAAATTGAAAAGCGAACAACCATGTGCACAAATTTGAGCTGTAAATCTGAGTGGACCAGGCATTATTGTCTCCGCACAATGGGGGGGGGGGGGGGGAAACGCTCTCGTGATAATATCACATATCGCATGTTGCCCCAATTTGTTCAAAGCTAAGCGTTTCTTATGGAACATAATCTGCTAAAGGTTGTTTTTTTTTCTCTACTTACATTCTTCGCAATCTCTTGTAGGGGGAGAAGGCTCCAGGAGGGATGGATTTGATTGAATTCTGCTCCAGACGTCTGTGGAGAAAGCACAATTTGAAGTTGAAAATGTATTCCTTCACTGAAGCACGCAGCAATGGTGGTCTGTGCTCAGCCTCCATCCATGTCACATAATAATCTGTAGTAAGAATGATCTTTGCAGTTGATATAGCGCCTTTATTCCAGCCACTTGTCCTTGCCACTAACTTGTGTCCATGTCACGCAATGTAAATAATAATAATAATAATAATCCTTGCATTTTGATATAGCGCTTTTCACGTCGGGAGGACGTCCCAAAGCGCTTCACAGAACACACTGTAAAGTGAATTGACTGTATATTTGTGGGCGAACGCGGCAACCAATTGCACACAGCAATGTCCCACAAACAGTTGTAGATTGAAAATGACCAATTTTTATTATTGTTTTTGGTTTTGGAGGGATTATTATTAGGTGTGTGGAGTAAGGAAACTTGCCCAAGGTTTTGCCCTGCCTGGAATTGAACTCAGGTCTCACGCTTGCAAAGTGAGTGCTCTAACCACTGAGCCACAGGACATATAAGAGTGACCACTTCTCTTTGTCACAAAGTTCCTCTGTTGGATTTCACAAAGAAAATCAATACACTGAAACCAGTCATCCAGATCCAGTCTGGTGAGCTTCTATTTCTGGCTAAGTGAAATTACAATGCCTATAACAGCATTTAGTGCCAAAAAAAAATGCTCGTAGATGGCAATACCGGTATCGTAATTGTTTGAATCCCGCGAGCAGAATATAGCGAATAAGCTATCTTTTACTCTCAAAATTCAAACCGAGTCAAAGTCCTCTTGGCCACTGCAAGGCCAGCATGGTGCAGCAGGGCATGTGCTAGGAGAGGCAGGCTGGCGGGTGTCCACACGTGGGCCTGCAGAAGCAACAGGTTCATTGTTGATTCAAGCTGTTTTCATCCCACGTCAGACTTGAATTCACTGTCAGTATCTGCTTGGGAGAGCAGTCTCATCACACGACAGACTGTGATTCACTTCTCGTCCGTGCAGGAACAAGAATTTCTTCCCACGTCGGACTGTGATTCACTTCATGTTACCGACTCCAAGACTGTCTCTATGACAAATGAACTAACATGGAATTGTATGTCTGTCTGTCTGTCTGGGGATGGTGATTGAAATTGGCAGCATAGTAATCAAATGTTAAGTGCATCTTATGGGGGTGGGGGGGAGGGTTTGAGAAACTGAAGTTGTTTTAGACTAAATAAAAAAGAATCGTATTATTTTATACCATGTTTTCAATCTTTGCATTATGTCTTAATACTGTAACATACAATACAATTTACATTCATGTAGCACCCTTCCAGGTGCTTTGTATAGCTGCTGGAAGGATTACGTGGGGGGGGAGTTCCGTTCCAGGGAGTGGGGGTAGAATGGCTAAAAGCTCACCCGCCATTGGTGACGAATAAGGGCACAAGTTCAACAATATCACAGCTGTCAGGACAGAGATTTCACACAGGGTGATTTTTACAATAAATATTATCTTGGAACATATCAAGTGCAGCTGAACATGGAAACCAGTTCTGTTGAGGATCCTACTTGAGACTGTCGAAAGGAATCAAATAAAATCTCACATAAAGCACGACCTGTCTGCCAATATTTTACGAAACTGTCTATCCTGTCTAGTCAGCACCAAATCAGCAGACTGCTTCATAACCATATTTGGACTGAAAAGCAACTCACTGTAATGTGTGCCATTTTTGGTGATGTGCGATTATATTGTTTCTTGCTGTTGATTGTTTTGGTTGTTTCAATCCTCTTTCAGGAGGGGTCAAATTGAAAAAAAAGTAATGCTTATATTTTAGTAAACCCAGATCAATATTTTAGGATGTATTTTGAGGACGGATGAGATCAGATGGGCTGAGGAGCCTTCTTCATCCAAACCAATCCTGTGGTCTGATATACCACCTTTCACGCCAGAAGGATGTCTCAAAGTGTTTTACAGAACTTACTCTAAAATGTTGTGAATTTATTTTCCAGACAAGTAACTTAGGACATGGGACTCTCTGACGTATTAAGACTTTTCGAGTTTGAACTCACAGCCTCAAAAGGGAGGGAGGGGGAAAAGAAAAACATAGATTGCCCTTTTCAAATCACCTTTATTCTCAATACTGTCAGCATGAGGGGAAATGCGTGGTATCGGTTATGATAATTATTGTCAGTGATAATTACGGCATCACGTAGCACACTTTTTTCCCCTCTGTGCGATAAGCTTTTCATAACCGTTTGCTGGAAACCAGTCAACATTCTTACTTTGTTCCTTCCTTACATTAATCATTTCAAACTCTTTGCATAGTTATTCAACTGCACGTAGAGTTAATAGGATAAAACTCTCCACTGCCAAAGGGCTCAACAGATTCATTTTAACTGAAAGAGATAAATGATTCGCTTCTTTTTAAAATTCTACAGTGGAGATAAGAAAGGAAAGGTTTGCACTAACTAATTATGAATAAAACACTGCCAAACTAGCTCAAAGTTACTAGGTTTGGTGTAGATCTATTATGTTGAGAATTAGACCTACAGCCTTGGTCAGTCAACAACTCCTCTCATCCAGATACTTATCGTTAGTTTACCTTCCCACAAGAAAATGAGAACATTCAGTGGACTTTCACAACGCTTATCTGGAATGAACGTGAACCAGGCCAGGGTTAGCAGCAATCTCCTCACACCCCACCCCTGCCTTTCCACCCACTCTCTGATCCCTCACTTGACATAGTAGCTTCTGCCTCTGCAAAATCTATTTGTGCAGGATTTATCTAGAGATAACAGTGGTTCACTCACATTGCCCAGATACGATGAAAGAAGCAAAAACACAGCACTCGAGCTTAGATTACAGCACTACAAAAGGATTCCAACAATGCAGACGTATTCTCTGTTTATTAAGAAAGCAAGTCAAATCAAATTCACATGTTTCTCTCCTCTATAAAATCACCAATCTTCATCTTATCTGTCTGCAATCGGCCACATTTTTCCACAACACAACGAGAACATGGACAGAAATTGGCATGACTTTGATCAAAGCATATGGAGAGGAAAACCCAATCCTCCCCTAGTCACACCTCATTGGTAATGTAACTCTTTCCATTCAAAGGTTCACACACTTCCCTCAAAAATTCCAAACTTACAAAAAGAAACAGTGCCCGTTCAAGACAGATCTAATTCATGCCAGGTGATTTGATCACATCAAGTATCCTTAGCTGAAATACCCTTGCTGGACTTGTTAATGACACACAATAAGCTTATATCCTTCTCTCTCCCACTCTGTTAGCTGTTGCCCTGCTCAACGTACTATGGCTTAGTTTGCTACCCGGTAGTTTAATACCAGGTCTCATAAAAGCCTCTAGAAAATATGTGTGTGTGAAAGTGACCCAGATTGACTAATTCTTCCTGCAAAGACGAGCAAAACTGGCACAAAACTGGTTACTTATCTTTTTGACTGTGCTTTCGGGCACCTTCCTCCTCTCCCATTTCTCTACTACCGCCACCACCCACCCACCCCGCAACTCAGGCTCCCAGTCAGCTGTGTGAAGCGCTTTCACAAGTTCTCTTGACATGAAAGGCAATATATAAATGCAAAGTGTTGTTGTTATTTTCCCATGTCATCCTGATCTCGGCAGAGCCATTCACAATTAAGCGTACTTCTGCTCCACTAGCGAATGCCCACAGTACAGGAAATAATTAGAGTAATGTACCTTTGGAAGTTTCATGTGTAGGTGGGATGCATGGGATTCCCAGCTTGGTTTGGATACTCTTAAAGCATGGTGATGGGTTTCTGCATGTGTCAGACCAACCCCCCACCCAACAAATAAAACACAGAGAATAACAACAGGTTATTGGGAGGCAAACTATTAGGAAGTGATGGTCAATGCATCCTCATAGCACTCGTCAGCTCTCAAAGGAATGAATCAGCTTGTGACCAACTTGAATTTCTCACCCCTCCCTGTATGTCTCACACCCAGCTGTAACTCTCCCCTTCCACCAATTACATAAGAACATAAGAATTAGGAGCAGGAGTAGGCCATTCGGCCCTTCATGCCTACTCCGCCATTCAATAAGATCATGGCTGATCTTCTCACCTAACTCTGATTACCTGCCCTATCCCCTTATCCCCTAATCCCTCTATTTTTCAAGAATCTGTCAGTCTCAGCCTTGAAAATGTTCAAGGACTGAGCATCTACAGTCTTCTGGGGTAGTGAATTCCATAAGTTCACTGCCCTCTGAGTGAAGAAATGTTTCCTCAACTCTGTTCTAAAAGGCTGACCCTTAATTTTAAGACTGTGACCCCTGGTTATAGATTCTCCTACCAGGGGAAACAGTCCCTCTGGTTCTACTTTATCCAGCCCTTTAAGAATCTTATATGTTTCAATAAGATCTCCCCTAATTCTTCTGTACTCTACAGAATACAGCCCTAGTTTATTCAGCCTATCCTCATAGGTCAGTCCCCTCACCCCAGGAACTAACCGAGTGAATCTACGCTGCACCCCCTCTAGGGCAAGTATGTCCTTTTTTAAATAAGGAGACCAAAACTGCACACAATACTCTAGGTGCGGTCTCACCAAGGCCCTATACAGTTGCAGCAAGACTTCCCTACTCTTATATTCTAAACCTTTCGAAATGAATGCTAACATGCCGTTCGCCTTCTTAGTTGCTTGCTGCACCTGCAAACTAACTTTTTGGGACTGGTGTACAAGGACACCCAAATCCCTTTGAATACTAACACTATCTAACTTCTCCCCTTCCAGAAAATAATCTGTTCTTTTATTCTTGCTACCTAGGTGAATAATTTCACACTTGCTAACATTGAATTCCATCTGCCACCTACTTGCCCACTCTCCTAGCCTATCTATATCTTGTTGCGATTGTTTTGCATCGTCCTGAGAGCTCATTCTGCTACCTAGTTTAGTATCATCCGCAAATTTAGACACATTACATTCAACGTCCTCGTCCAGATCATTGATGTAAATGGCAAATAGCTGAGGCCCAAGCACTGATCCTTGTGGC